GGTGATCCATCTTCTTCAATGCTTCCACCTTTGGGGCAACTTGGGTATCCTGAACTTCTTTACAATGCTGGGCCACGGGAATGGGGGAATGGGATGATTCTTAATGTCAACCCTGGATTAATAAACCCTTAAAGTAAGTATCATATTATCACTATTTGGGGAGCACCCCCCAATTGATAAACCATAGTTTATTAATCCGGGGTTTACATTACTTGTTATTACCTGTATATCGTTCCCCCATTCTCTACTAAGCACCAGTGAGACAATGGCTGCGCCACACTCCAAGCCTTTGGAGGTCATTATGCCATGGTGGAAACATGTTGAGAATGATCCCAACCCCCTTAACATCAACTACCCCCAGTGTTTCGGAACAGCCATGAACAAAAGGGTATGTTTCATATTCGGAAGGGATTAAGTCTAGTCAATGTCAATTATTGATGGTGATTAAATGTGATTAATAGTGATGATTCAATGGGTGGTTTGAAACCAAGCAACAATAGAATCATTTTTTTTACCACTTGCCGGAGGTTGGTCGATTCTGCTGTTCCATCCATCCCACCACCTTTAAAACGACTCCCTAAGTAATGGATGTTCCATCAGGAAAACAAAAATCACCCTAAAAACCTCCAGCAAATCCAGGATTGTCACTATTTTCCGAGCTATAAACCTCCAGTTATATTGGGCCTTTCATGGTTTTCCTATCTTTTCCCATGGATGTAGCCATCGACTCGGCAAACATCGAGGTCGACGTCCGCAGAATTCCAGCCTTCCACATCACGTCCCGGCGCCAATCGGGGCTCAGAAAGTCCAAGCTGGGCGAAACCAAGGGGCTCAGCCTCAGTCGTGAAGCGAAGTCTGGTACCCTCCGTTCTCCTCAAACGTGGCTGGGACCTCCCAGTGGCCTAGCCATGGAAGTTGATGGGGTTTTACCATCTATAAATCATGTCGTCAATCCTTTTTACAGTCCAGCAATTTTATCTAGCAAAAATCTAATTTGTTGGTTGTGACTATTTTCCATTTACCATCTGGTTATTTAACATAGCCATGGAAAATGGCCCATTTATGCCCATAGAAATAGATGGTTTACCTATTAATAGCATGGTGGATCTTTCCATGGCTATGTTAGTCATAACCAGAGGGCATACGAAAAAATAAAGGTTTAAACTACCCATCCAAGGTTGGGGATGCCGCTATCGAACATCTATGACGCTACTGTATTTCAAGTGCCGATACACACACACACACTCGTGCATATTATACATATACAATATATATTCAAAAAAATGTATGTATCTATTTATTGATTTATATAATGATGTATTTATTTATATATATGTATGTATGTTTCAGTGAAGTCTCAGCAAACACTGTGTTCAAGAAAATCTTATTTTTTGTCAGATTGCTTGGGCCAAAAACACTTGTGATATCATGTGATATGATACTGAAAAATGCCCAAACGAATCAATGTTTGATCTGGACATAAACAGCGCATGCTTCCCCATGCTCGCCGCATTTGCTGCCCAACTACTAGATCCAATATGATCCTGTATGATCCAATGCCTCCGGGGTTTCCAGTTTGAGTTCTGTTTTTTTCATAAAGGAAGGTCATTCCCATCCATCCAAGCCATCCAAGCTACTCATCTCGTCGCAAGTTCCAATCGCTGAAGCCGCGAAAATACTTTCTGTCGCCGCCCCAGAACCAGTCGCCTTTATTCATGTCGGAGAAAACCTCGGTGACCGCTGCCTCAAACAAAGTCATGTGTCATGTGGGTAAAACAATGGGATTTCACCATGAAAAGTGGTGATTTAATGGGATCTATAATGGGATTTAATAGGATCTAATGTGGGTAAAGCAATGCCATTTTTACCACCCATGACTGCGAATGGTAAATATACATATACCACCTATTTATGGTGATTTGGGGGATGGTTTATTATTGTTTTACCCACATTACTTTGGTTGAGATGTTTCCGGTTTCAAGGGCCCGAAACACAAGAAACATAAAAGGTTTGGACAAACAAAACCTAAATCTTGTTAAAGGATGTTAAAGGTCTATGAGGAGGTTTGCTTCTGCATACTTTCTCCGAATGGTCAACCATAACAACTTTCAAAATATCTAATTATGTCAAATGGTCGCTGTGGCGAAGCATTCCCCGCCAGCACAGTTTGAACAACCAGGATACTTCTTGATATCTATATCTAGACCGTCAGACCGCAAGTGTACTGAATCTGTGTGCAGGATGCCCCTATCAAGAAAAACAATCACCTTTTTGTATTTTTTTATTGGTGTTGCAGCTATGATGCTCGAACAGTTATATATACGGTTACTTATGTATACCCAACCCAAAGAGAGATCACATTGCAGAAAACATGGCTGAGCCACCAGGCCACAGTCCATCTGAACATGTTGGCAATTTAAACCACCAAATATTCAGTATCAGTGGTTTCAATAGTGGCTGTAACTGTAACTGTATTTCCACAATGCAACTGGGGTTACAGTTACAGCCAGACTCACTAAACGCAACTTCAACAACCACAGTTGCACGAAAACCATCGCTGGTGCCGTAAGTGCAGAGCCAAGACACTGCCAGCACATGCCAAATGGGCCAAGGAGAACTGCTCACCTGCAGGTTGATATCGCTTGAAGACCATCGTCCCACTTCATGTGGGATTGGTGGTAGGCCATCAGCCCCCAATTCGAGGCTAGTTTATTTGTACGCCCATTAAGAATTATCGTTATTTCCCTCCAAACCATAGTTAACCAAGCTATAAGTCAACGTGGCTATCGTTTGGGGGCCTTACCATAAGTATAGATTATTTTTTAAAACATTGGTGGTCTGGTTTTGACATGTTCCATAGTTCTGGTGATTGTGCTGATGGCTTATTATCATTAATTATATATTTTCATTATTGGGTTTACCATATTACCTATGTTTCCATGGGTGGTCTACCTTACCACCATCTGGATTGGTGATTTAAAACGCCGATCGTGATTTCACGCTACTAAATGATTTATTTCCCAGAGGTTCACCATTGTCTAACAGCTAGGGTCCTTTGGGCTCAAACACATATACCCAGAATAGAGATACAGTACCTTCCATATCATGTTAGTTTTGTATACAGCATATTGGTACATAACAACATGTATGTATGTATATGTATAGTCTGTATAGTATATTGATATATAGCCTAAGTGTGCCTAACTATTAGCCCTTTTACAACCAACAAAGTGTGTCCGCTCCTGGCGCCTGGATGAAGGGCAAGTCCCTCACCACTTGATTCATCACGTTGCTGAAGGGTGGCATATGGTTGGTTCCCTTTCCCGCAGCGGCCACCAACTGGGTCGCGGAGAGGTAGAAGAAGCCGAAAGGACACTCCTCGCGAGAGCCACGGGACCGCGAGCCTTTTTGGGGAAACCCACTCCCTATAGGGGCGAGTAAAAGGATGGGAAATTCGGGGGGTTTTGATATGGGAGAATTTTGGGAGACTGTATGGGAGGCTAAAAGATGAATCTGGGTAAATTATGATGGTTCATGAATCTGGGTAAATGATTATATTGTATGGAGTGTAGAGTGTAGAGTCGAGTGTGGAGTGTCATCGCATGTCAGACCATGCCACACCTGCCACGGAATTTGCACGTTGTCACCACTTGACGCAGCCCTGACAACGGATTTCGCAAAAAACACGCAACAAAAGTGCTGCGCCCACCACGAAAAATACAACTCATCTTCTGAAAACGAGGCAAAAGTTTTGCGCCTGCCGCGCTGCCACACAACGACTTTCGACACGTTTTCGGACACGCGAGAATGTCAGGAAGTGTCACGCTTGCCACGCAAAACGACATTACAACCTGCTTTGGCACCTTCAAAAAGGATAGTTTTGCAGCTTCCCTCCATAGACACGGCGAGGCCACAGGAAAACCAGAGACTCGCGACGAGACATGCTGGAGCTTCAAAATGAACATTTCGTGCGAGACCTCCTCCAATTTTCACACTTTGTAGCTTCAAAATCGACGTTTTCCTATGAGTTTTCCTAACGAACCTCAAAATTTGCATCTCAAAAACGATGTTTCGTGCCAAGCTTCCGCCAATTTTCATCCTATCTCATAAAAATTCGACCCCTACCACAGAAGTTGCACGTTGTCACTATTTCACGCAGCCCTGGCAATGCGACTCGCAAAACACGCAACGCGACACATCTAAAGTGCTGCACCTGCCACGCAAAATGACGATGGAGGTCTCCAAAGTGCTGCGCCTGCCACGAAAATTGCAACTCATCGTCCCAAACAACGCAAAAGTATTGCGCGTGCCAACCACAAAACGACTTTTGGCACGTCATGAAACATGTTGGAATGTCACAAAGTGCCACCCCTGCCACGCGAAACAAAGCTACGCGACTCTTGGTGTAAACGCAACGTCGAGTGAACTGAGCGAACACACCCTCAACATGCCTCAACCCCCAGAGTGAAATGGCAACCTGGCTACGGATTCGGGAAAACAATCTCATTTTACCGCTAAGTTGATCTGCGCATTCGTGGGCCCCAACCATGTGAGAGCGTTGGCGCTTCTGCAGTAAAACAGGTTGCTTCAGGCTCAAAATCATACTCGGTTGGGTACAGGAAATGATCACATCAAATTCTAGCTGGGTGACCTGCTACTGTCGCGCGTAATGAAATCATTGTGTCAACATGCAACACTCACCCCGATTCCTACGCTGATGTGACATGACATATTATGTCCCTCCCCTTTCTGTTTTGCATCCCACTGAGATTGGGGCTGGTTGTGGCTAAGCAGTCTGGCTAGGTCGCATGCGTGCTCTCCGAGTCCTATGCTCTGGAAGGTTGCAGGATCTCTTTAAATTGATTTTGGTGTTCAAATCTTCTCTCGAACATGCCAAGCAATGCAGGAAAACGCACAGCTCCTTTTGTCCTGCGTGAGGGCAGGAGTACTAGGCAGTGGAGCAGGCAAGGGTGCCAAGACTAAACAACCCACGATCACAACAGCCCGCCAATGGTCACAGCAGAGGCTGTCCATGCAGTCGCACAAAGAAGGGTCCAAGAGTCTGTCTGTACAGCTTGACAGCTAGCCCAAATCCTCGTCAGCTAAGACTGTCCAAAATAGTCGATACAGTCCCTTCGGTAGACGTTAAAATGAAAAAAAATACACTTGAAAGCTTTGGATGATCTCAGAATGATTTCCATCAAAAGCCCTCAGAATGATTTCCATCAAAAGCTTTAATTCAAGTGTATAGCATTAAAGTGTATTGCTTTTGTATTCTTTTGTATAATGTCTGAATAATTGATTATAACTGTAAAACTTCAAGCCAACTTCACGCATCTTTAAGGCACCTCTTCTGAGCCTTTGGCATCAGAAGGTTCCGAATCCTCACTCGCGGCTTCAACTGGATCTGTTGGGCACTTGTCAGTTTGATCACGGACCAAACCGACCAAGGCCATCAATAAAAGAAGAGATCCAGCGTAGACCACCGACGTGATGAAAACGGCGAAGGTGTAGCCATGTTGGTCTGCCAGGATCCCACCAAGCAAGGCTGAACCAGACCAACCTGCAATACCGATACTCAAAAATGCGTTCCACATGCCTCTCTCTGTTGAAGGGGTGAAGTCTGCCACCACTGAATCGAGCAAAGGGTTGATACAATTCCCCAGGCCACGGCGGAAGAGGAAAACTACCATGAGCATCGGGGCTGGCAATCCAAAGTGAAGCATGAAAGTCAGGGCAGTGCATAATGTGAAAATCGAAAGCATGGCAGGTGCTCGGCCACAGTGTTTCGAGATCCATACCCCTGCTTTGCTGCATATTGCGATAAAGAACCAAGAACATCCTTCAAGCAGGTTGACTTGAATGAGCGACAGGTGAACGTCGTTCTCGAAGAAAAGGATGAAGAAAGGCACTATGAGACCACCTGCAAAAACTGTCACAACGTACCAAGTCACGCACAGAATCGGAACCCGGCGAGCTGTGCAGCTCTTGACTGACAAGTTCGACACATTGACCCTGTCATTTCCGTTCGTCAACTTTGGCCCGCATTCCATGGATTCTCTGGTGAGCGGATCAACAAAGGTGAAAATGATGGAGGCAATGGGAGCCACCGCAACCAGGCCACATACAAGTGCAAGCTTCATGTGACTTGCAGAACTTGACCCACTCGAAGCAAGGATTGCCACTGCTGCAAGAAATGGGCCGCTGGCTGAGCCTAGAAGGTAGCAAACGAACTGCGTGACGAAAATTCCTTCCCTCTTGCCTTCAGGGATACTGTCAGTCAAAATGGATCTGGAAGCACTTTTACAAAGCTCGATGAAAATCCCGCAGCAACTGGTAAGGACCGTCGCCAAAGCAAACTGGTCTGTGTGCAACAAGAATCCTCCGATGATCACCGTGGCCAAACCAAAGAAAAGGGACGCCCTCAAAGGTCGTACCCGACGTGTGGGGTCACGATCAACCAACCAACCGATGGGAGCCACAGAGAGCAGCTTCACCACCCCACAAACACCTTGGTTGAAACCAACCAGCGAATTGGGCCCGGTGCTGACTGATCTGACTGGGCCCTGAACGCCAAGGGCTATCTGGTAGAGGTAAAGCACAAGAACAGGTCCTGTGATGATCTGCTCAAGGATGCCCAGACAGAAAAATAGGGCAAACGCGCTGCGGATGTTTGTAGACTTCAACTCGCTCATGTCGGCAAGGCTGGCAAGATGATGTCGGGTTCGGGCCAAACAGCTTCCGAAAATCACTTCCAACACAGTAGAGAAACAATTCAACACAACCATTGAAGCCGGACTCAGATTCCAAGTCGCTTCATGCCTCACTTCCACCGCCGGTGGTTTCATCTTTCTTTAGAAGTTTTCTCCGTGGCTCCGGCCATGAAATCTTGTCGTCCACTTCATTTGCCATAGCACCTTGCGAGGTGCCATGGATCTATCTTTGACCCTTCCCAACAAAAAGATTCAGGACCCGAATGCCGTCACGTAGAACACTTTTGTGAAACAAACTATTTGAACAGTCTTGTACATATTTCCCCTGTTTCCGTACCAGCGCACTGTAGACTGTGGAATGCGGAAGAGGGTGGAGTGCAAAGTGTGGTGTGTGAGGAAAATGGAGTGTTGAGTGGGGAATGTGGCGTGCAGAGTGTGAAGCGGGGATTGCGGAATGTGGAGTGTCAAGTGTGGGGTGTATAGTGTAGAGTGTGGAGTGCGGAGTGCAAAGTGTGGAGTGTACAGTGTAAAGTGCGCAGTGTGGAGTGTAAAGCGTGGAGTGTGGAGTGTAAAGTGTGGAGTGTAAAGTGTAAAGTGCGGAGTGTAAAGTGTAGAGTGTGGAGTGTAGTGTGTGGAGTGTAGAGTGTAAAGTGTGGAGTGTAAATAAAGTGTGAAGTGTAAAGTGTGAAGTGCAAAGTGTGGAGTGTAAAGTGTAAAGTGTGGAGTGTAAAGTGTATAGTGTAAAGTGTGGAGTGTTGAGTGTAACGTGTACAGTGTGGAGTGTAAAGTGTGAAGTTTAAAGCGTGAAGTGCGGAGTGTAAAGTGTGCAGTGTGGAGTGTAAAGGGTGGAGTGTAAAGCGTACAGTGTGGAGTGTACAGGGTGGAGTGTAAAGTGTGGAGTTTAATGCGTAAAGTGCGGAGTGTAAAGTGTGGAGTGTATAGTGTAAAGTGCGGAGTGTGGAGTGTAAAGTGTAGAGTATAAAGCGTGAAGTGTGGAGTGCCAAGTGTGGAGTGTAAAGTGTGGAGTGTAAAGTGTAGAGATGTGTAGAGTGTAAAGTGTGGAGTGTGGAGTGTAGAGTGTAGAGTGTAAAGTGTACAGTACAAGCACCGTACTTAAGTCACATCAGGCGGGAAAAGTCACATCATCCCCATGGCACGGCGGCGATACGGAGAAGTCACATCAGGTAGTGGAAAGTCACATCAGGGAAGAAGAATCACCATGGCACAGCCTGTTTCTTCTATAATATACCATCAGCTACCTGGCAGAGACCCTGGATATTACACTGTAGACCCTAAAAACAGGGTCTGAAGAAGAGTTACATAGCTAAATCACGAAAAACAATCTCAATGGTCTAGACCCTTGGACCTTACAGATGCTGAAGGTCTGAAGACGTTTACCCATGCGTCAAAAATACCAAAAAAAATGTTCCAAACAACATGTTTTCTCTCGCTCATTTTTTTCTTCGCTGCTGTCACACGTTTTTCACCAGTGCTCTTGGGCTCTTGCCATGAACATCCACACTTCAGGAATGGTGCAAATCAGAAAAATTCTGAAAATTTCAGATTTTAAATAAATTTATATAAATTAAACTTAAATATAGTATTTTCAGAAAAAATCTGAAAATTTAAAATCACTAAAAATCTGAAAATTTCAGAAAAAAAAATAAAATTTCAGAAAAAATCTAAAAATTTCAGATTTAAAAAAAAAAACTGAAAAAAACAAAATTTTCAGAAAACAAATCTGAAAACATCAATAAGAATCTGAAAATCTTATTTAAAAAAATATGTCAGAAAAAATGAAAAATAAAAAAACATATAAATATATAATTTTCATAAATAAATTAAACTTACAAAAAAAAACTATTTTAATGCAAGTGAATATTGAAAATAAACTATGTTTCAAAAATACTACAAATTATATTAAGTCACTGAAAAATGGTGCCGGAGAGGCTATCCAGACCTTTGGCGGTCATTGGAAATCTATGGGTGCAAAAGTCTACAAATAAAATGCATTGGAAATCTAGTTGTGCAAAGGACTAGACCGAACATGGTTGGTCAAAAAAAACAGTCTTGATCAGTGCCAGAAAGGCTGTCCAGACCTTTGTACGACCTGGGGAATCTAGCGTGGCGAAGGTCTAGAAACACAATGGTCAGCAAACCCAATCTGTGTTGATCAAGGCCAGAAACGCTGTCCAGACCTTTGGACAAACTTTGGAATCTAGCTTGGCAAAGGTCTAGAGCTACAATGGTCAGCAAAACCAACCTGTCCTGATGATTGCCAGAAAAGCTGTCCAGACCTTTGAAAAAACAAGATCTGCCTTACATCTTCAAAGTTGAAAATTATGGGACATCCATATATCATGTCCAACATAGACACGCTCAAGGGTCTATAGTACCTTAAATGCAGAGGGTCTACAGTCCTCTAGGAAGTACTCTAGACCCTGGGCCCCTGAGGCCTGGAGGGTTGGGTACTCTAGACCTTATGTAGTTGAGGGGATTCTATAATTGGAGATTTAGTTAAAGGAGCCGAAGCATTGCGCACAGCGATGATTTTGAAGGGCGCAAGTTAATACAAACAAATTTTCGGCAGCTAATCCTATTGGATTTGAATATATTATATTGATGTCCTGCGTCGCGTGACCAAATCAAACCCCTATTGGTACAGCCTCAAATTTCTTGCAATGCAAATGGATTAGCTGTAGCAAATCCTATTGGCAGGGCTATGATCCAGGATGATATAAGGATATGGGGGCCCCTTGCTTTCCGCAACCAAATCTGTGGCTGGCCCGATGTGCATCAAGGTGGTGGACAGATTTCAAGACGAAGTTTGTTGTCCTATCATGTCCTATCCACCCAGCGATTACGAGTTGGAATTAAACCTTTCATTCCATTGCCGGCGGAAAGCGTGGCAGGTTTTGTCGGTGCTTCGTCTGCGCCGTCTGTTGTGTGTTCCGCCTTGCGCCGTTTTGCGCCGTGTTGCGCTGTCTTGCGCCGTCTTGCTGTCTGCGCCGTCTTGCGAGATGGTGTGAGATGGCGCAGATGGTGAACGCAACAAAACAACCGCGCTATGCGACCGCAATGTTTCATTCCAACCAGCCAGAAACATTCCCTCTCTGTGCTGGTGTCTCCCGCCCGTACCACCCGCCAGCGCCAAACAAGGCGACCGAGACTGTTATTTTCTTTTTCGACAAACTGTTTGCACCAGCGGCAGTAGCAGCAGCAGCAGGAGGAGGAAGCAGCAGCAACAGCAGCAGCAGCAGGAGGAAGCAGGCAGCAGCAGCAGCAGCAAGAGGAAGCAGCAGCAGCAGGAGGAAGCAGCAGCAGCAGCAGGAAGCAGCAGCAGCAGCAGCAGCAGGAGGAAGCAGCAGCAGCAGCAGGAGGAAGCAGCAGCAGCAGCAGGAGGAAGCAGCAGCAGCAGCAGGAGGAAGCAGCAGCAGCAGCAGGAGCAGCAGCAGCAGGAGCAGCAGCAGCAGCAGGAGGCAGCAGCAGCCGGAGGCAGCAGTAGCAGGAGGCAGCAGCATAAGGCAGCAGCAGGAGGCAGCAGCAAAAGGCAGCAGCAGGAGGCAGCAGCAGGAGGCAGCAGCAGCAGGAGACAGCAGGCAAGCAGCAGGCAAGCAAGCAGGCAAGCAAGCAGGCAAGCAAGCAGGCAAGCAAGCAGGCAAGCAAGCAGGCAAGCAGGCAAGCAAGCAGGCAAGCAGGCAGGCAAGCAGGCAAGCAAGAAGCAGGCAAGAAGCAGCAGAAGCAAGCAGCAGCAAGCAGCAGCAAGCAGCAGCAAGCAGCAGCAAGCAGCAGCAAGCAGCGGGCAAGCAAGCAGCGGGCAAGCAAGCAGCAGGCAAGCATGCAAGCAAGCAAGCCAGCAAACCAGCAAGCCAGCCAGCAAGCCAGCAAGCAAGCAGCAAGCAAGCAAGCAGCAAGCAGCAAGCAAGCAGCAGGCAAGCAAGCAGCAGCAGTGGCAGCAAGCAGCAGCAGCAGGCAAGCAAGCAGCAGCAAGCAAGCAGGCAAGCGAGCAGCAGCAAGCAGCAGCAGCAAGCAGCAGCAGCAAGCAGCAGCAAGCAGCAGCAAGCAGCAGCAAGCAGCAGCAGCAAGCAGGCAGCAAGCAGGCAGCAAGCAGGCAGCAAGCAGGCAGCAAGCAGGCAGCAGCAGCAGCAAGCAGCAGCAGCAAGCAGCAGCAGCAAGCAGCAGCAGCAAGCAGCAAGCAGCAGGCAGCAGGCAGCAAGCAGCAGGCAGCCAGCAGCAGCAGCAGTGAGCAGCAGCAAGCAGAAGCAAGGAGGAGCAAGGAGCAGCAACAGCAGGCAAGCAGCAGGCAAGCAGCAGGCAAGCAGCAGGCAAGCAGCAGGCAAGCAGCAGGCAAGCAGCAGGCAAGCAGCAGGAGCAGCAAGCCGCAGGCAAGCAGCAGGTAAGCAGCAGCAAGCAGCAGCAAGCAGCAAGCAAGCAGCAAGCAAGCAGCAAGCAAGCAGCAAGCAAGCAAGCAGCAAGCAAGCAGCAACCAGCGTTTGACCCCTTGAAAGAATGATCAAACATACGTTTTAAAAATCAACGCAATACACACATTGAACTTTTTCCAGGCGCACGGCCCCAAAACAATGAAATCGTTCAATTGCTAAAAGTTGTGGTGATGCCAAACTTGAACTTTTTCCAGGCGCACGGCCTCCCGATACGACTTTTACGAGCTGATACGACTTAACGCTAGCGCTTGTATATTTCACTAACCTGAATCGAGATAATCCTGCGGCCATTTGGGGGATGAATTCCCCGAAATAAACCATGATGTATTTGGGTTCGGGAGAACAGTGAGGTCGTTATAAGTTACCCAGATGAATGTTCATGACATTTCACAACTACAGCTGGCATTCTCTTGCTGACTCTTGCGACTCCTGTGAATCTTCTTGCCAAGGTGTTGAAAAACTCATGACGGCACTTTCTGGTTGTTCACTCTTTGGAGTCGTGCGCAGCCTTTCATTCGCCACGTCCATGTCGCAACCTTCCAGCGACATGACCCCTGACCCCTCACTCCTCAGAGGCTTGATGTTGCCGGTGAGCCTCACCACAAAGAAACATCAGACAGAAATGGCTTCTGCCCCTTCCCGCATCTAAAACCCCTGGATACCTTGGTTTAGCATTGGGTCTATTCATTTATATTCATATTCATTTTGGGGTCCTCTATGTGTTTTGTATTTTTTTGTTGATGCGGGGTATTCATGCTGTTGTCACTGGGATTGCTAAGGGCCCCACGTTCGCACTAAACCAAACATCAACAGCATGCAGAGAATATACAGTAAGCCAGTCACCGGCACGTCTCAGGCTTAGAGATCTTCACAGAAAAACTAGCAGCTATAGGAGGGTCAAATGGTCAAATGCTCCTCAATCCCCAAAAAAATGCTGAAATCGCCATGTTTGTTTCGAATTTCCCGACTTTGGGTAATCAACTTGGCCAATCCACCCATCCAGCATGTGGAGGCAAAAGCCAACTACGGATGCTGCCAAAGCATTTACATACATATAGATACATACACGCACGCACACGCTATGTGTACTGCATATACGTATGTTATACACCGCATATATCATATTGCACGTATCTGACTATATAGACATACCATCCGGTAATCAAACGTGGCAATGGACAATTCACTTTAAATAGAGGTTTTTATAATTAGCAAAGGGAAAATTCCCTTTAAATGGTGCCTTTTCCTGCAAGCCACGATTGATTACTGGAAGGTAATCCCCTTAACATCCCATTTTTGGTGCTTAAACATGGTCAAACCATGCTAAACCCTAGGAATCATCATAAATTAGCATTCATGTGCATTTGGACCATTATAAATATGGCAAACTCAATTCCCAATGTTTCGTCGTTTTTCGGCTTTCGTCGCCAAAAAAAGAAACGGTGTCCCAGCGCCGTTTCGTACCGTGCCTTCCGCAGGACCACGTAGAACTGATCCGCCTCAGCTCCACGAAATCTGGTGGTTTCAACCCCTCTGAAGGTGTCATAACCATCTTGAAAAATATGAGTTCGTCAATGGGAAGGAATATCATGGAATATCCCATTATGGAACATGACACATGTTTGAAACCAGCAGGAAAATGACCATAGACATGTTTAAGATGTACCCATAGAATCCCATAGACATGGTGATTTTCCAGTTCGTGATGTTAGTTTAGAGGGTCACTAGGGATAAATCAACCACATAGGAAAAATGTGTTGGCAATACTAACTTGACATTTACTGTAAATTTAACCCAGCAAAATGGGAATGTTCAGACCTAACTTCAATGAAAGTATGGGGAAATTTTCTGGAACATGAATGAAAATTATATACTCAACCGAATTCAATGGCCAAAACGGGAATTGATGGAATTGTATGATTTTGTGTTGCATCAAAATGCATCAAACGTATTGGGATTTCGCATGATTTGACTGAAGGATGGAAAGGAATTTAAGTCCAGCATTGAAGGGATCCAAAACTGGAGATTTCTGGCATTGGCTTTGGTAAATTATGATATTTGGAGTTGTCTCAAGATAGAGGATGACCCCAAAAAGGATCAACACACACATGTTGAATGCGGGGGCAACTTGTTTCAGATAAACATAAATGCGGATTTCACAATAATGTTTGTCCAAGCCACACACCAAAAGTATCCAAAAAGTGTTGACTAAAAATAATGGCGTACAACCAACTGCAACGAGCGCAGTCCCCTTTCGATGGACACAGGATGTGCAAACTACAGTAGATATAATATGTACAAGTGAGGCCCGCCCAGTTATAGATTGGTTTATCAACGCCATTAACTACAGTTATATCCCCCAGTTATAAGTCAATTTACCCTCTGGTAATTTAATATAACTATTGAAAATTGCCATTTATAGTGGATTTTCCCATTAAAAATTGTGATTTTCCATAGCTATGTTAGTTTACCAGAGGGTATACCCCAGTTATAAGTCAATTTAGTTATCGCAGCTGGGAGCCTCACGACCCATAACCCGGGACCAAGAGGCAATCGCTTCCTGAAGGCTGTACAACTCGGTCCTGGGGATGAAGCCCTGCAAAAAAACGATCACTGGGGCTAGACATAGTATATATAAATATAATATAGTGATCTATAGTGATATATATATATATAGAGAGTGATATAGTGATATATATATAATATATAGTGATAGTGATATATAATAATATAGTGATAGTGATATATATATATAATAATAATAATAATATAGTGATATATAGTGATAGTGATTTCAGGGCATTTCCGCGGTAAAACTATGGGATATTAACGGATATCAACCACTACACATGAGGTATACAATGGGTATCTTACGTTTTTCTTGTTCGGCTTAGCTGGCTAAGGCAGTTCCCAACATCTTGTTCGAACTTGAGTGGCGGTCACCCCCAGCACGTGGCCACTTAATTGGGGTAAGGTTTCTCATTGATTCTAAGCTTTTCATGACCGTAACTTCCCGTTTCCCAAGCCTTTTTGGCTCAGCCCAAGATGCTTGTCTTCTTCGCTGTTGTTGTTGGAAAAGGTCAGCTCTGTCCACCGGTTTCCCCACTCCTGAGCTGTGCCGGCATGGAACCCGTGGAACAAGCACCTTGGTGAACACAACCTGGACATGGAATTTCCCGCTTTCAGTTAGGACACTATCTGCAAATGGGGGGGTGCAATGAGATGTTAGATCATTGCCGGGCACCCACTTATTCGAACCCTGCCATGAATCTTGTTTGTCTCATGTTTTTCAAGTAATATCATTTTGGTCGGTTCATGCAATGTAACGATCACGTACGATCGTATTTGTGAAGTCAGGGATGTGATATTCCCGGCTATATCAAGATTGACCAGTCGGCTTTTTAATGAACACTTTTTCAGATCGCCTCGTTCACTTCCATCTCCAGCTTGAACTGAACATCTAGAGGAAGCCCAAACCTGTAAAAACATATCATGGAAGCCGAAACCTCAAAATATAATTAATAAATATCATGGTAGAATGTGGCAAATGCTATGCCAAAGGCGATGGAGAAAGAAATGGGAAAACCCCATGGAAATTCTATCCCTTCCTGACCGATCTGTGAGTTGCAATTTTGCCCAACAACCAACCTGCTGAACATCATACTTGCTGGCTAAGCGGCTAAATCATCATTTCATCAAATTAATTACATCTCTGTTTGTCCAAAACCAAGTTTCATCATTTCTTGGTGTTCAGTATTTGTTTGTTCTTTTCTTGGCCAAAATATATGTATAAAATATCCTGGTTGGTGGTTCCAACCCCTCTGAAAAATATGAGTCAATGGGAACGATTATCCCATATATTGTGGCAAAAAAAATGTTCCAAACCACCAACCAGTACCATAGATCTTAGATATCACATGATATCCCTTTCCGTTGGTCAAACAATTCTGCCGGCCTGGTTGAAAAATAGGTCTCTCATCCCACCACACCCCGGCCTCGCCAGATGCCCCTGGGGTAAACCGCTAAACCATCCATAAATTGGGTATCCGTTTCAAGAAACCCCAAAAAATCAATGGCTTCCCGGTTCGGAAAGCGTGATTTCTCAAGTCATGGCGGGTCCCAGAATTTTCCAACTTGAGCCGAAGTTCCCGTGACTTGTCCCAGTCGATGACCCCTTTGACCCCCTCACAAGCCATGGCCGCGACCGCGTTGTTCTGATCTGCGGCGCCTGGATGCTTCGGGGATGGCCAAAAACTTAAGTGCCATGGAGGTCGTTAGGAAATGCCCAACAAAAACTAACGAAACATGGCACTAATGTGGGTAAAACAATGCCATAAGCCACCCATGACTGGGAATGGTTTACATTAATGTTTATGCCACCTATTAACTAAACATGTACAAATAACATCAAATAACATCAAATCACAAACACCATCTGCTCTGCTGTTATTCGGTTCGTGGGTCTCCCAGTCACTGCCTAAATTTATGTCTGGGCCTTGATGGGTATTCCGGAAATAGGCCAAAACCGGAAAGATCGGCCAGCGTGACAAAGCGATGACGTAGGCAGGATACATACCTCAACTGCAGCTTGGTCCGACCTGGAAGTGGGAGGCCCCTGGGATGATCATCTCCGGGGATGATTACAGATTACTCTTCAGTGACGTCATCTTCAGTGACGTCGCTGTGATGTTGCTATCACTTAGCCAAAATGCATCATATCCCCATTACATCTCATTTTTTCACCATTTTTGTTGGTTAAATCCCCACATGTTTTTTTTAACACGTAGATGGCCACTGCTTTGACTGATTGGATCTATTGGAATGGCTGGTGAGCCGAAGCCTTACTTCGGAAATTTGGAGAAATAATACAACCATGTTAAACTCTTCGAATTTTAACTACAGCTATGGACAATGGTTCATTTATAGATGTGCTACCCATTGAATCCCATTGAACATTGTCCATAACTATGTTAAATATAAACTTTTTGCCAGAGGCTAACTTCAATGTTCCTAGATGTTCCTAGCGGAATTTTCACAGAACACATACGGAATGACCGGAGAATTCCGCCATTTGCAGATCAAACAACCTGCCTGGAACATCCTGGAACCGAATTGTGAGCAATTGGATCAAGATCTGAGATAGATTATGATAGATTCTAGCCCCTCTTTAATACCAGTACATGATACATACCACGCGCACGCTTATTTATTTGGAAAGAATGCATTTGCATGTAATGATACGTTTGCTATATATATATATATTATATTTATCTACATACACATATTTACCATACTGGGATCTACCCCAGTTACTTTCCAGGATAGCTCCAAAGCAAAAAAACAGAAAACAGACCCTTATGCAAGTGCCTCCAGTCCCTCTGAGTACCCTCTGGTGATTTGACATTGCTTTGAAAATGGAGCATGCACAAATGATTCACCTTGTAAAACTAGATTTTCTGACAACATCATGGTAATTTCCAATAGCCATGTTGAATTACCAACGAGTACGCCATTTGCAAATGTGAAAACACGTGAAAGCCCCATATATATAATATATGATAACATATGTATATATGTGTGTGTAACTACGGACTTACTATCACCAGTTGCGAGCACGAAAAAACGCGAGATGGTAGGATGGCAGCTGAAAGCTTCCCACCCAGCTCTGCAAACGTGCAGCCCAAGAAATATTGGATGACTTTGGCCATGCTGGTGTCCAAGACGGTGGGGTCACGATAGAAATGAAGCAGCTTCAGGTACAAGAATCCCAACGGACATTCTTGTTTCGCTTGTTCCTCAAAAGGCAGCCATACATCATGGACTGGAAAAACACACCATGCTGCAACCTTCTCATTTTTGGTTAACAGCGGGTAATGGATAAACCACTATAAAGCAAAATGTAGTGTTTCGAAACGAAAAACGAACACCGACCTTTATATAATAATCAATTTTTGGACTTGGACTTGCCAAATTTACCTTCTGGTAATCTAACATAGCCATGGAAAATGACCTAGTTGTAAATGATTTAGCCATATTTAGCCTAAAAATGGTGGTTTCTAATAGCTACATTAGATGACCAGAGGGAGGACTTTGGGGACTTGGGATCTATGATCATGACAATCATTGACAATCATGGAAAGCATGGTCTAGAAAGCCGTACTTTGATTTGTAAGTTTATACACATATGTATATATGCACAGGTATGTATGGATATATATATATATCAATATATATATGTATATTTATATGTATATATATAACGTATATATATATATATGTACTATTATACATGCATGTACATGTACATGTACATGCGTATATGTATATGTATATGTATATGTATATGTATATGTATATGTATATATGTGAAGTCAGCTTGATATACTTTAGCCAACAGTGGGGTGTGGGGTTTTCTGAAAATAGGACATTCCCAATTTCAATGGTTCAGCGTATTAGTTTCTAATTCAACTGCTATGCAATTCATGTTTGGAATAGGGTTCCAAGAAGTCATCCTGTAGTGACTCTTTTTGTTTTTTACATGTTTATGGATCATGTTGTTTTCTGTTGTGTTCTTTCTCATTTTATCATATTTTATCATGTTTTTTTCATGCGATTTAATTATTTGGATGTCTTTCATTTTTTTGCGTTTTTTTGAATGTCTTTTCATTCTTTTCATTTCCTGCATTTTTTCATCGAGAAAACCATTACCAATCCAAACCACTGGCATGTCAACCCACTACTTAGGTTTTTCTGAATTAACATTGCACCTCTACTAAATCTGTTAAATCCCCAGTGCGCATCTAAAATCTAAAGCAACCTTTTAGCCAAGGGACTGCTTTGGATGTGAAGCGATGTCGCGATCGATCATCGTCGATCAACTCCTCCAGATCTGATGGGAGGGAAAAGTCGCTGTCCATCAAATTGGCGCTCCTTAGAATCGCCGCACGATATGAATCGATATGCGAAAACTGCTGGACAAATTACAGTAATTACCATGTTTGACTGTGTTTTACCTGGTTTTTACACCAAAATATCCTAGATCCACCAAACATAAGACTTTGGTAAACTCCGTGGCAAGATAGAAACACTGGCGGAAATTTGTGGTGCCGGGAGCCTCCCATCATCCCGCCCTTTATCCCACCGTTGCTGTCGGGCTTCAAAATGTGTACGGTGCGCTTATGGACCACGTTCCAGTCCGCAGCAGCGCCGGGAATCGTCTGTACCAAATCGCAATCCTGCAATATCATTGTGAGCCAAAGTCTATAAATTCATGCTGGGCATATTTTATGCCAGTTATAGAATTTCGTAGATTGATATAAATATGTAAAAAATACATAGGTCAAACTATTCATAACTGAGATAACTGGGCTACCTAGGTTTCATGGTGGATATATCATGCTGAAAATAAGCGAACTTACCAAGGTGGCCAGGTGCCGTGGCGCCAATGACTTGGTTCTAATTTAACTGTCATTATTTGATTGTTGTTTTTTAAAGACAACCTTAAAATATCTGATAGTCCTTATGCCCAAAAAAAACACAAGACATGAGATACAATACAGTCATATATTAATATATACAGTCCTTAAGTTCTCAATGTAATTCATGTCTCATACATTGCCGGCGGCTGAATCCCCACGGCCTCTTTGTGGAAGAACACATCAGAACACTGGCATTTGGCATCACCATCAGCTGCTGCCAAGCGTCATAGTCCAAGAAGGGCGCAGGCGCTGGGTGCTCTTGGAAGGCTGCCACACAGGCGGCCCAAGCGAGAAGCGTCAGTCGCTGCATGAAGGTCAAACATGGCAGCTACAGCCAGGGGTGCGACATCGGAGTGTGGGCTTGCGAAAAGATGGGGAAATATTGGATCAAACACAAACCAAAAAGATCCAAAAAGTGTCTTGGCATCATTGAGGACGGTGGTTTCGGATGGATGCGGGATTGATGGGGTTAAAAGCTGATGGTTGGGGTCTCCAGTTGCTGAAAGGTACCATGGACGTGTCTTACAAACGATCGCCAACAGAAAACATGCGACATGATTCCGCTCTATTTCGTGGAGGCAATGCTACACGCTTTAGACATTTCATGGCACCTAATGCATGTGGTGTTCATGCTCATTAATTATGCCCTGGGTGAGACATACCAGCAACGACTTCTGTCACATTCCATGGCCATCTTGCAGTCATGTCAGGGCTGTGAGTTGGAACTGGTGTGAAACAGTACAAAAACTGCCTCATGAGCTCATGGTCACTGGTAAATAGATTATTTATATATATATATAATAACCAGCTAGCAGTTAGAATATTCCAAAATGCAAAACAGTTCGAGTTAGAATATTCGGAAACATTAGCAGTTAGAATATTCCAAAATTCCATGCACTGTACGTTCAAATTCAGTGTCTTTTTTCCTTTCTAAATTCTAATGTACCGTGCAAAAGTCAATGTATTGACCTAATGTACCTTGGATTCAGCAAGCCACCGAACAATGTCAGTTCGGGCTTAAATTTCTATCTATGAACCTACATAGATCCTAAATATCTAAAAACTCTTTGAACATACTATATATAGATACTGGGGGAATATTCTAACTGCTAGCAGGTTAATAATTCTAAATATTGCATTTGTTCTATGGCTTGCCCAGATTTGAGGACCATAGCTCTTCCAATCTCTTCAATTGTTTCTTTGCTAAACGGTCCGAATTGTTTCTATGAATATCATTATTATCGAATATTCTACGTGTAATATACAGTATTCTAAGTGACCGGCTGGCACTTAGAATATTGACGTATTCATCCTTGAGAGTCAAGCTACTGAGCAACTCGTAGCAACTATTTAGCAGCTATTTAGCAGCTATTTAGCAACTGTTTGGCAACTATTTAGTGGTTACTTAACAATTTTAGCATCTAATAGCTATTTAGCAACTATTTAGCAGCTATTTAGCATGTATTCAGCAACTATTTAAGAACTATTTAGCAGCTGTTTAGCAGCTATTTAGTAACTATTCATCAGTTTGTTTTCAAAAAAAGTATTGTTGCCAATAACGCTTCAAGAAGTAATGTTTTATTAATATCATTATTATTAATCGATATTAATCGAATATTCTAAGTGCAATATCGAGCAGCTATTGAGCAGCTATTTAGTAACTATTTAGCAGTTATTTAGCAGCTATTTTGCAGTTATTCAGCAACTATTTAGAAGCTATTTAGAAGCTATTTAGCATCTATTTAGCAGCTATGTAGCAGTGATTTAGCAATTATTTTGCAACTACTTAGCAGCTATTTAGCAACCCTTAGCAAGTATTTAGCAGCTATGTAGCAGTTATTTAGCAACTATTTTGCAACTACTTAGCAGCTATTTAGCAACTCTTAGCAACTATTTAAAAGCTATTTAGCAGCTATTTAGTAACTATTTGACAGCTATTTAGTGGCTTCTTAGCAGCTATTTAGCATCTAATAGTTATTTAGCAGCTATTTAGCATGTATTCAGCAACTATTAGTAACTATTCAGCAGCTCTGTCAAAGAAGTATTGTTTCCAGAAACACTTCAAGCAGTAATCTTTTATTAATATTATTATTGTCGAATATTCTAAGTGTAATATCGAGAAGCTATTTAGCAGCTATTTCGATATTATTTGGCATCTATTTAGCAGCTATTGAGCAGCTATTTAGTAACTATTTAGCAGCTATTTAGCAGCTATGTTGCAGTTATTCAGCAACTATTTAGAAGCTATTTAGCATCTATTTAGCAGCTATGTGGCAGTTATTTAGCAACTATTTTGCAACTACTTAGCAACTATTTAGCAGCTATTTAGCAGCTATTTAGCAACTGTTTGGCAACTATTTAGTGGTTGCTTCACAATTATTTAGCATCTAATAGCTATTTAGCAACTATCTAGCAGCTATTTAGCATGTATTCAGCAACTATTTAAGAAGTATTTAGCAACTATTTAGCAGCTATTTAGTAACTATTCATCAGTTTGTTTTCAAAAAAAATATTGTTTCCAAAAACGCTTCAAGAAGTAATGTTTTATTAATATTTTTATTATGGAATATTCTAAGTGCAATATCGAATATTCTAAGTGCACTGCAGATAGAATATTATCAAAAATCCAGCCGGGCCTTTAAAAAGAGCCGCTGAACTCTCAAGGATGAATACGTCAATATTCTAAGTGCTAGCCGGTTATTATATATATATATATATATTATATCACTATTGCAGCATATTTCAGCAGTGTCTGTGCCCAACTGGGTATGGATCCAAACCATTTCCCTCCGAAAACGGGCAAACTTATCCAGGAACCACTTGCGCACACACACACACATATATATATATATAGAGATGTATATATAATGTAATGTGTAGATAAACATACATACATACATAAATATATATATATATATATGTGTGTGTGTGTATTGGGTAAATGGATAAATAAATATATAATATATCTGACTATATAAATATCCAATCCATCCATTCATCCATACATCCATCCATCCATCTCCTATCCATCTATCTATCCATCCATGGTGCATAAACCAATTTTCCATAGATTTCCATGATGAAAAAACACCATTGGTGACTGACCTCGTACTCGTAACCCACCTGGTACTCCGAGCCATTGCTACCCCAACGTCGCGAGGGACCCTGCTCGGCAGCCTGGCACGTCCCTAAAGATAATGACATGTGATGTTTTCTTTGGTTTTAGGGACAGTTGGTAATCAATATGTAATCAATTGATATATGATGTGATATATGATATATATATATATATGTGTGTGTATTGTTTGGAAATCAATTGATGGGCGAGTTGGTCTGCCACAACCAAAAAAAAAACTAGGAGTTATGGTGGATGTATCTGTAGTTACATGGGGTTGGAAACCAACTGATCAGTCAACTAGTCCACTGATATAATATAACCAACCAGAATGAGGATAGAATCGAGATGTTCGGTTGTACTATTGGTTTTTAGGATTTAACTATACCTCATGATAGGGATTTTCATTCACCGGCATCATGGCACGGTCAACGTCATCAAAAACAGATTCCAGTAACCACGCATTTCTTAAAATGTTAATCACACCAAATAGAGGTTGGAATCCACTTGACAATATGAGCTAATTGCCATCATTATTCATCCTATCTGTTGAGATATTAAAACTTTTCAAACCACCAATCAATTTGGGTGAACAAAGATTGACATAGGAAAAGCCTATATTATGATATATCGCCTACTGTAGTTATTTTTTTGAAGATACGTTTTAAAGTTAGTGTTTGAATATTTGAGAATTGTTCAATGTTAATGTCTGAAAATGGGGCCCATAAAAAGTGCATTTAAACGTGGGAACATGATGCTAAAGCAGTGAATGCAGAGGTTTTCCCATAAATTTCGGTTAGATCTTAACCTACAACATATCCCAATACATCGAATTAGTTATAATCAATTATATCTCATTATAACCCACGATATCCCAGGAAAAGGCTAGGAATCTGGCCATTTTTTTGTCCTGAAAAAAAGCCATGCGAACCTTCTGACCAAAGGCCCAGAGGGGTCTCCCCCGCGACTCGGCGTCAACCTGAGTCCAGTTTTCCCAATTCTTCACTGGGAATTCATGGATTCTATGGTGAGAAAGAAAGGGATTTACCCTCGGGTAAACTAACAGTTTGCAGTTTGCGACATAGAAAATGGCCCCTATAGAAATAGTTGATTTATGTTGATTTACCTACTAAAAGTGGTGATTTTCCATGACTATGTTAGCTTACCAGAGGGTAAGCAACAAGAATGGGGATGTTAATGGGAAATACTCTCTGGGAATCAAACATGACTTTCCGGAAACTTCCATAGTTGTAGATGATTTTCCCATTGAAACCTCTATTTATAAGGGATTTCCAATTGCCAAGTTTGATTATCAGAGGGTAAGCGATCTTAAACCCAAATATTGATGATTGAAACATTGGTGAGACCACCAACCATGCCTGTTCTATCCATGGCAATACACTGCCAAGCACTTCATGCTCGTGATTCGAGATCCCATCGAAAGTTCCGATGCTTCAAAACACTCATTGAAACCACCAAGCGCTAAACATCAGTCATTGGTTATACCCATTGTACATACATATTTGCATTTATATACAAGTAGTATAAATATACATATACATATGTACATATAGCTAAATACACACACACATATATATATATATAGTGCATTGCATGATATATCATGATCTCTCCAGGTTTGATAGTCAAAATCCACATTGGACCCCCATTAAAGCCCCAATTTCACCTATCCAAGCAGCCATCGGCAAGGGCGCCGGTGCTGCAGCGGTGCGACGATGGCTGGCCCTGGAGTGTGGAGGTGAAGTGAACTGCCTAGGAAGCATAAGCAACCCTCTTGTTTCCAATTGGTATTTAATGGAATCATGGATATTTCATGGATATTTGATTGGTATGTAGTTGATGATGAAAGAACCAGTTAATCATCAACTAACGGGCATCAAAAATGAATATTGAATGGGATTTTTCATGGGATTTTCTGGGATTTACCCTCCGGTGATGTCACGTAACCATGGATCATCTTCATTTTTGGGAGGTAAATCATCTATAAATGGGCCATTTTCCATGGCAAGATGTTAGTCATAAACCTTCAAAATTGACATCATGATCATAAATGATCGATCTAAATGGGCAATTTTCCGCAGCTCTGTTAAAGAACCAAAGGGTACTGTATAACCCCAGTTACATTTAGTAGCGTAAACAGGGTCACTCGATCCAGGTATGATTGGCTTGAACTAACCCAGAGACATCACTATGCCGTTAGGTGACCCAAAAAAGTGGGAGCAAATCAAGCTTCCAAAATGTCCCACAAACCAAAATGTACAGGAATAACTGCAACAAAAATATAACACACATATAAAAACAATTAAAAGCACATATATGTTTACGAGCTTTGGACTTTGCAATGCTTGTTACATCTTGTTACAGTTCCAACAAAACATTGATAACATTGATGATATGACTAGGATCCATCGAAGCATGAAACCAGAAAACAGCGTCCAGGCCTGATGTGCTTATACTTGTCATCGACATTCATGACGACAAACGTCCACTTATTTCAAAAATCATCCAAATACATTTAAATCCATTAACTATCATCAATATACTCGTGATTGGTGGTTAATGTTGGTTTTATAATCTATATTCCATTAATCCCTCATAGAATTCTATGCCCATTATGTTCCCATTAAGAAACAGTTATATTCCAATGATTGTTGCTTACATTTTCCAATTTTACAAACCATGGCACATACAGTTCTTGATTCTTGGTTGATGTTGATTGTTGCTAAAATCCTCCATTATATATATATATATATGTGTGTGTCTCATGATTGATCCATGAAGTTCACCCATATACCATTGATATCCCATGAAAAATCCCATTAAATATCATGTTTCCCCATGTGTTGATGATTAAATAACCAGAGCGTTATTCTGAACCCACCATTGGTCCCCGTTGTGGAGATACCGCCAATCACAAAGAATTGGCCCGTCGCTTGGTTGTCCAGGCGGCTGCCGGCCCCGCCTGGGCGTGGAAACAAAGCTGATGCGATTGCTCTCGTGACCTCAGGCGTCGAAAGCCGGGTGTAAGAGGAAAGGTCACCGGGGACTGTTCATGGGAGTGACATATGGGATTTATATGGGATTTATATGGGATTTACATGGGATTTACATGGAATTGATGGGATTCATTTAATGATAATTTAGGAGATTTCATGGTGATTTAAATGTGATTTTTATATGGGATTTAGCCAACAACAATGGTGGCTTGATGGGTTTTGAATAAAGGGGTTTAGTGGGATGTGATGGAAAATCCCTTACTATTACTCTATCTATAAATTTGGAGGTTCAGTTCGCAGGAAACTCCCTGCGAACTCAATGGATTTTTTGAAAAACGGCCAGGTTTTGTGCGATTACCCTCCAGGAATTTCACAGAGCTATGGAAACATGGTGAGAGATGTTCGGTGCTTTCCCTGTAGCAATGAGGCTAAAATTTAATGGACAACGATCAACGGTGAATTGGACATTAACGGTAACCATCCAGAAAGGTAACATGAAAATTCAATCGCTGTTTTGATGATTGTCCATAGTTGTGTTTTAAATTGCTCTAGAGGGTAATGATGAGTGCCAAGCCTGGATTGACAAACACCTAGGCTACCCAATTGGCTGCTGAATTGGAGCGTATCATTTAAGTGGAACATGTTCGCCATTTGGGAGGAACATACAGTACCTAAATAATCAACCAGCGTTTATCAATCACAGGTTGACATGATTGGTGATCCTGGCAAAGAAACCAAGAAATTATTGGGGAACTGTTTTGGAGCCCCTTTGGGATACCAAATTCTCTTTGTTCAACAATGTTCAATGTGGTTGCTCCGTTTTTCCATTGACCAACACCAATCAGGAAACAAGAACATATCTGCTTAAATTATCACCATTCACCTAAAGAAATTCGGATAACTTCGGTCATTTTGGGATATTTACCATCTGGTTATTTAACATAGCCATGGAAAATCACTATTTTTAATAGGTCAACCATCTATTTCTGTGGGCCATCTTTACCATGGCTATGTTAGTCATAACCATAGGGTACTTACTTATTACTTAGCCCCACTCGTGGTGGCCGGCATGGCCAGTGTCGTCCGATTTTTGGCATAGCAAATTTGCTGTACATACTGAAGTGCAAGAAAATGACCCCCTCGTGGATGAGGTACTCTTTGCAAAAAATACACATAAATACAAATATCTTGATACACACATGCATATCTTGTTACTATTAAGAAAAAACATGCACATAGATATACATCACATATACGTATGACATAAACATAAACATATGCATATATGCACTACACACATACGTATATATAATTATATATATATATATATGTAGAGATTGCACATAAATACAATATACGGGATTCTCATAGGAATCCTCGCCGGCCTTGTTGATGTAAATTCTAGAGGTATCGATGCAGGCTTGCCACCGGTCGTTTCAGCAAAACATCTGACATCAATAGAACCAATGTGTTCACATATTTGTTCATAGCATTCTTGAAATCAAACATGGAGTGATTTTTCAGAGAACCCACCATTTTTATATGGTTGTTTCCCATATTAAAGCCATATTAAATTATGAAAAACCCACCATTTATGCGGAATTTCCCCAAAAAAAAACATCCATTTGCTTCGCATCCGAACACTTCGCAAGGCTCACGGCTCACCTCCCCGCACCCTACGCTAAGCTAAGGCCGGCCGCAGTAGAAGTTCGCTGCCATGCATAACTTGTCCTGATGGCAGTGGGTCCATTGGTCCAACACGGATCCCCATGGATAGATCCAATGGTTTTCCTAGTACTTAATAGATTAATAGTGTATAATTAGTAGTACTGGTTAATAGTGTATAATTAGTGTATAATTAGGTTAATATTAGATTAATTAGGTTAATAGTACTGGTTAATAGTGTATAGTTAATAGATCTAATGGTGTCCAAAACAAGGGTTTACACACATGCTTTGGTTTAAACGCAAAAACCGTGGTTTGAACAAAACCTTTTTGTTTTTGCGTCCGAAGCATCTTTTACACAAAGAGCTGTTTTTCACAAAAACTGTCTTATCCACAAACACCATGTTTTACACAAAAACAATGTTCATACCATGTTCTTGCTGGGCCTGAGTAGGGGCTGTTTGCAGCCTACAGGATAGTTCTTTCCATGGTGGCCAGCGGAATACGCCGAAGGCGGTTAAATAAAAAGGTTATCATTTGAAGATATTTGAAGGGTGAACACCAAGGTTATCATTTGAAAGGTGAATGTCAAGGTTATCATGTGAAGGGTGAATATCAAGGTTATCATTTAAAAATATTTGAAGGGTGAATATCAAGATTATCAAAGTTATCATAACTGTGGATGTTCTTCCAAGGTTACCCTCTGGCAATTTGTTACATAGCTATTGAAAATATAACCATTTATAGTTTATTTACATTTACATTGGTAAAAGTGTGATTGTCCATAGCTATGTTAGTTTCCAGAGGTATAAAAACTACAACGTTCATGGGAAAATCTATGGAAATTACCAGAAATATATATATATATATTTAATGAACTGTCATAACTATGATAATTCTGGGTAAATTAGAATATTTCACTAACCTGAATTAAGGCCCCTTTCCTTCCAAAAGGAGCCTGTGCCCAGCAGAAGCAGAGCACAGGCTCAGATCCACGCGCTCTCTGCCTTTTTGGCAGGTGAACCACTTTGTTACATTTCAGCTTGGCTGAATACCCGTTGTCTTGCTTTCTCTGTCCGTTGACGGTATTTGAAGGTGTTGCAAATAAGCTGCCAGTCCTTATCAATCAGCACGTGCTGACGATCATCAAGCCAATATGGTGAAAAAGGGGATTCATAAGACTTTCTGGATTGCAAGTGTTTGCGGATGTATTCCGCAACTGGTGTCTGGTGGGGGAAGCATGGTCGCGGTGTCAAGCCGCTTACACTTTGGCCAAAACCCTGCACGTACAAGGAAGACTGTAAACCTTTACCCACCTTAGGTGTTGCTTCAACTGGCAGCAAAATGGTCATCTGAGTCCACATTTTTTGCATCGTTGTAGCGATGTCAGTGTGTTGAATGGCATGATCAGCGATGTCTTTATTGTCCTCTACCATCAGCAAACGTACATGACCTTGTTGATTTTTCCTTAGAATTGGTAAACATTTTGCAACATGGAAGGAGAGTGATAAGGCAAGTTCGAGCCATGAAACACCAATTTCTTTGTCAAGTGGCCCCTGTGGCTCTAAGGGCCAACGAAAAAGTTGCATCCACGAAAAAACTTTATCTGCCCACCAAGGTCCCCATGAAAATTGCAAAAACCAGTCTTGAACTCCCTGAGGAAACACAAGTTCTTGTATGTCTGTAGGTGACCATTGGACAATTTTGGAGAAAACATGTTCTGGAGAAACTTTATCAACTGCATTGAGTGTTGTAGCATCCTGCCTTGTCATCTGTTGTACGGCCTGTGCTCTTGCCTGAAACAGTTCAATATGTAGTTGATAGCACTCCCGCAGAATTGTCCTCGCTGTGTTGGTCTGTTCATGGAATTGGTGCATCTGGTTGCACCAATCTGCATTCAGCTTCTGGCACGCTAGTTTTGCTGCTTCGTCTGCTGTGTGATTTCCTAACGCATGGTATAGGTCAAGCAGGTCATCGATTTCGTGCAGGTTTCTGTGTGCTTTAATCTTACGAAATCGTCGGACATCTGGTTGCATTTCATGTATCTCCCATAGAACATCAGCATTGGAAGTTGCATAAAGCTTGGAAGTATCAGAAAGCACCTTAGTCGCTTGCCGGATGGCATAGCTACTATCGGAATGAATAACCCCATATGGAATGGATGCTGCTGTCTGCAATGCCAAAAGTTCAGCTCTTGGGATATTTTGGAAGCCCCTCACCCGGGCTGCAAAGCATGTTGCAAAAGTGGTTGGAACACTTCCACTGGTTTTGAAGGCATATGCAAGTTCTCGACGGTGAAAGTCATTATCAGCCAAATCAATAACCCCTGCAAACGCTGCAAATCGAGATGTTGGGAATCTCGGGTTGCAGCAGCTTCCGTCAACGTAGATGTTGAATGGCTGTGAATTCCTCTGTCGCTGCTGTGCAAACGCATGGAAATCATCTGCCACAATGGCACTTGGTTGTTGATGGTGTAAAACATGATGGAGCTGCATGTCTGCATGAGAGTGTATCACTGCCATATCTGCAAGTGTCAGTCCTTCTTCTTCTGCACACTGCAAGACATGTGTGTATGGTTCACGGATGTGTGCGAATGTGGGGCATTCAAAGAGTCGATGGGCCTTGCTGTCTTGCTCCCCACAAAAAGTGCAAACCCCAGAGCTGTCTTCAACCCAATGCGCTTTCTGCGCTTCAAGCTGGTATGCCCCTGAAATTTCACGTAAAAGCTGCCTACGGTTTTTGTCAGGGAAAGTTTTCAAGATGGCTAAAGTATCACTCCTGGACACGTCAGGCATGGAAAACAAACTGAACCTGGAAGTCAAGTGCAACACAAGATGTTGTTGCCAAGCCAAACTCATGAAACGCTGGATAGTATGAAAACCATCACGCACTAAGTGACACTTGATGACCCCATCAATAAGCAAATGGCCCTGGCAATCAAAACTCCACGACAGCTTGTTGAGATAGTGTTTTAGGGTGGAAGCAGGACCCTTCGTATTCATTGTATTTCCCACAAACTGGGCAGTGGCAAGGAAAAAGTCATTTTGAACATCTGCAGTCTGCTTGGAAAGCCATTGTATGGCTGTACGCATCGCTTGAGTCATGACTACAAACTCAGGGTCCAAAATGGTGCCCTTGGTTAAAAGTAGAACCAGTGCAGGGGACATACTATGGGAAGACCCTACGAGAGCTTCGGCTGCTGCAGTTCGTACCTTGGTCAGCATGTCACTGGACACTGGGAAAAGTTCTGATCCATAAAACATGGCAGGGTATATGCTATTCCTGAGGACATGTTCTTTAACTGTGAGAGGGTGTGGCAAGTGGTTCAATCTTGACATTCGGAGCATGCCCTTCTCAAACCTTTCTTTTCTACTTCCAAGGTTTCTAGTTCCTGAGTAGTGCAATTGGAGGCCCAGATCTTTGGCATTATGGCATCGTTCGACTTCCTTGGATGGAATGGCAGCTTGGATGGAAGTCAAGGCGTTTTCAGCGGTAGTGGTATCGGTTGCCCATCGCCAGGTTTTGTCCCAATCGATGGATAAACCACATTCATTGGTGACCTTCGCTGTGGCACTGGCAGCAGGGCCATTGTCTTCAAAGTTTCTGGTGATCCAAGCCCAGTTATCTGCATAGGCTGAGGCAACAAAAGTGGGTCCAGTGGCCGCTTGTGTGTTGGAAGCCCATAGCAACGCAACTGCAAGCATGATAAGCACTGAATGAGCATCGCCTTCCGGAAACCCGCACGTGGCATGGATAGGTCCTATGCTCTGTCCATTAATTTCCCAAAATCTATGCATTTTTTTGATACTGAGCATGAATTGGTTGACTCTGATTTCTGGTAGGCCCAATGCAAGTAGTAAACGGTGTCCTGCCGCATGCCTAATGCAGTTAAAACATTTTTTGATGTCCAGTGTAAGGCCTGAGAGGGAGTGGCCTCTCATGCCTGCAAGCTCCACCATGATTTGCACTGCATAAGCCGCATCATGAGATCCTCTGGAGGGGAGCATGCCAGTTATGGCTGGGGGAAATTTTTGGGCCCAAAAACGAAGGACCTGTGTACAAAAAACTCCAGCAAACAGGCGGTAAATTTGGCTAAGAATGCAAATTGGTCGGCTTTGGTGTGGCCTGGGGACATCTTCTGATTTGCTTAGGGGGCATACTCTGGCACGCATGAACCAGGCAGGGAAACCATGAGGGTACGCATTGCATACCATCATGAGCTCTTGGATCATTTCATCTGGTAACAACTTGAGTTCCTGAGCTGATACTGCATCAAATCCTCTGGCGGAAGAGGAACGCATTTTTTGATTGTGGCTTTCCATTGTTGCAAAGAGTCATCAAACTGAAATGAATCTTCGAAAACTGGCAGGTGTTGGAGCAGTTGTTCAAACTCCGGCCAACTATCTTTTTGATCCATATCATGGGGGGCTTGCCATAAGGGAGTCCAAAAATTGGAAAGCTGGTCTGCAACTTGGCTTGGTTCTACGACATATTGCGCCTGTGTGACTGTGGCTGTCACCTCGGCAATCTCTGGCATGTCATGGAATTGCACTGTGAAACTATGGCTATCATGTTGGACTATCCATCCTACAGATTCTAGTAGCTTAACTGGTGCAAGACCTGTAAAGGCACTGGGATCTTCGCAAAAACATTCGACCTGTCGCAAGTCATGATTCCACACCAGGATGCATTCTGCTTTAACCGGCAAATATACTTCAGTGATAGGTGCCGGAGGCTTCCCCTTGACTTTCGAAAAAGCTTGGGATGATCCATGGTATTTTTGATCGCATGTCCTGGCAAACTGGCATTTTTTGGCAAAGATCAAGTGGTCATTGGCAATCTCATGGGTGACTGTGTGTTGGACCATTTGATTTACCTCCTGCAACCATGCGGCTGTAGGCAGAGGCCATTGTGGCGGTCCAATTTCAGGGATATCTGTCAACCATTCATGAAAAGGAACTCCAAAAGCATGTGATTTCAGGATGGTGATCCATTCTTGTTGACACTCATGAGTGTAAGTGGGATTAGGTACATCAACCTGTTCAAGTTTTTGGATTCTTCTCAAGAGATTTTGAATTCTTCTGGTCTGTTTGATTTTTCGTTTTGTCGGCATGGTGTTGACTTCGTATAGCGGTTCAAAGTCTCCCTGTCTGGCCTTACGTACTGAGCTATACACTGGTGTCTTCACTGGTTGTCTTGGCTGGCATCTACCCCGATATGATCTCGGCAAATGTGAAAAACCAGTGGGGTGTTTGGTGTAGGCATCACGTAGGCTAGAATCTACCAGAGCCTCGAGCTTCTGCCCCCATTCCTCCAGGGTGGTAGAAAGGGGGATTTGGGTATCTCTTTGGTATGCCGCTTGAAGGTCAGGCGCATCCACGGCAAGTTCAACCCAACTGTTTGGCATCTTAAGGGTATATTTAAACAGGGATTCTTGTGGCAACTGCAAGTTGAAAAAGACCGGGCAGTGGGTGGCAAACCATTCGGGGGAAAGAACTTTGATGTGGCCCAAGTATGGTATGAGTTGACGTGACACAATGGCATTGTCAGGTCGTGTAACTCCTTGACAAGTGGGCTTCATCTCCGTTCCATACTTTTGCAAATGGAGTGTTATTAAATCACTGCATCCTTTACGCAGGAAAGATTCCCAAATGGGCAAGTGGTGTAGCTCCATATTGAAGTCTCCGCAAATGATGAAAGGTAATGGCACTGTGGCTGCTTGGTGCAGCGTCATGGTTAACATGTTATTGAGAAATTCTTTGGCTTGGTTATGGCTCTGTGGGATGCTGTAAAGAGTGATAATTTGGATGTGTGACTGCCCCCAACTGGCAATGGTATGTGTGATACGTGTGCTGGATTTCCAATCCGGTGGCAGTGGGTTTCTGCACTTACGCATGGGCACGTTGGCAATTATTGCCGTGCCACCTGCTCTGCCTCTGATGCTGGCTGCTCCACTTTGGCAAGTTCTTTGTGGTGCAACAGGGTTGGACCAAAAGGTTTTATACCCCAGTTTAGCCATGTCCTTTTGGCATTGTGACTGTATTTCTTCTGTGGCAGAGGTTTCTGCCAAGCACAGTACATTTACTTGTTCTTGTGTTAAAAGTTGAGTGAGAGTATCCTTTTTATTGGCAAGACTGGTCGGATTGGCAAGGACCATGTTGATGAGGCATGTGCCCCTGTTTGGCCCCGGATTCTTAGCTTCACCTATTCGGCTGGCATGACCCAAAGTGGGTGCATATTGGTGTCGGACATTGTTGGCAAGACAGTAACAAAAGTATAGCACTACCCAGTTACAAGCAGCTCTGGCTGCAAGGCTGTGACAGTGATGAGGCATGTGTCGATTCCCCACATCCCTTCCCTTGAGAAAAGTGAGCATTCTTCGTGCTCTGATTTGGCTAAGTGCACACACGGTGCGCTGTTGCGGCAAAATCTTGGCATGATTACAGTCGGATTTAGGTGACAAAGTGGGAACAGAAAACGAATGCAAATCCGAATGTTCTCTATAAAATGCAAAATGAATTAATGGTTGGTTCTTTTCTGGCAGTCAACTATCCATATTGGCATCACCTTCTGAAGGTGTTTTGCGCTTGGATTGGATCAGAGTTTTCTTGAGATCCAAAAAATTGGCTTCAAACTGCTTGGTCTGCTTGCTGAGAGCCTCACCAAACGACATGGCCAATTCATGTTTGACTCCATCCAGGGTCTGATGCATAGTGTGTACAAGCTTGGTCTCCGTGGCCGTGAGATCTGCATGCAGCTGCTGGATCTGTCCGGTGTGCTGCTCTTGCATGTTGGTAAGGGCTTCAAGCTTGGATTCCAATTCTTGGACTTTGGCATCTTGTTGGGCAAATCTCTGTTCATTGGGCCCCTGGGTGGATGCTTGGGCCTGGCCTGGTGCAGGCTGTGGCGCATTACGATTCAGGTAATTCCACCATGGGTCTTGGCTGGTTGGCATAAGTGCCACAGCAGAGTGTGCAGTGGCATTTGATTTGGCTGATACCCCTCTTGGACCCGCAAGGATTGGCTGCACTATGGAGCTCTGTTTCTGTGGCATAAACCTCGGCAAGACAGGGTGCCCGTTGAACGGAAGTGGGCCCGGTGGAGGATTGTCACCTGTGCAAATCAACCAGCTTTTGGGACCGGTTGCTTTGAGTGGCCGAAAGGCCCATTTGATGTGCTGGGACCATTCCTCCAACATGCTAGAGTTACATCCATACGGCAGGGGTTCGAGCTTGTAAATCCACTTGTTGGATACGTCAACTGGAGGTTTCGCATTTGGATTGATGGCTTTCCATGCTTCTGCAAACATGCTAGCATTGACCCGAACTCCAAGTGATGATTTTCCTCTGACAAGCCCTGCAAGTCCTGCGACCTTGGCTGTGATGGTGGCTGCTTTGGGATGATCAACAGTAGGAGGTAGCCAAATGATTCGAAAGTCATCAGTGAGTCGGCCATCTTCATTCTTGGGTACTGCCCAGACTTTGTTGTGGCCTGTCAGTTTGAGCATCTGCATGAATTGTTCATCCTGAATGGCAGCATGTATCTGAACACTGGTGGCATCACGGAAGGTGGCAACTTGTTTTCCTTTTCTGTATGATCGTCCCCAAACACTTGTGATGGCTTCTTGAACTCCATCATGTGCAAAGACATCCTTGACAAATTGAGTGGTTTGATGTGTTGCAGCATGCCATTCATCTTCTGTCCAGTCCTGTTTCCACAGCGTGAGTGAGCATACCTTGCTGGTATTGGTCTTGGTGGCTGTCTGATCCCACTGCTTAGGTGTGACTTTTTTGGCACCAAACTGGATCATGGTTACCTGCAGGAGTACCTGTTGCGTATCGCTGTTGAAACAAGGAATGACCACAGATTCCGTTGGCAAAGTGGTTTCCACTGGCATCGGTCCTAGAACGAGCATGGCCAATTCATCGGATGAAAGCTGTTGATTCTCCCTGAGCCAAGGTGTAGCACCTTGAGGATTGGTCAAAAAGACCCCTGTGGCATTGCATCTGAACTCTTGCAGTTGTTGTGTCGGTTGACCATCCTCTTTGAGCAGGAAATTGCAATCGACTTTGAAGTGCTGTGGCTCTGGCATCTTTGGCTGTTGTTTCCTGAATTTGGTTTTCATGGCATTGGCTGCTTGTTGAACTTTGGGCGTCGGCTGTGGCAATTGTATGGCAGCTTCTTGGAGAATCTGCTGCATTTGGCTGTCACGCTTGTTGCTGGATGGTTGTTGAATCACGGGTACAAAACGCTTGACCCCAATGTCTTCAATGATCTTTTCCAGATTGGTGTTGATCCATGATAGTTCGATGTGGTTTTCAAGCATCCATGAGGCAACTGAGTTTCGTACCTGTTGCTTGAGTTGTGACTTGGTGGCTGTCGGTCCTGCTCCTCCACACATCTCGAAAGCAAGGTGTATCTTGATTGGCTTTTCACCTGTCTGTGCAAATTGCTGGATGGATCCGGAACAAAACTGTCTTCCTTGAACAATCAGTCGCACTTCACGAAAGCTGGTCATGGGTGCAAGTGCATACAAAAGCACTGTGGCGATGATTTCTGCAGTAGTATGTTCATCAATCTTGCCACTCCAAAGGGTTCTGGCTTTCCATTTGATTGAGATCATTCTACCATCTGCACTGTGCAAGGTGTCCAGCATGGTTCTGGCAGTGGCAACAACGAATGCTGTGACAAACGCATTGGGCGGTGCTGATGCCCCTGCTTCTGCTGCTCCAAACTCCACTGCAGAATCTTGTGCATGTTTGACTGATACAAAACGTCCCATGCCTTGCAATGATTCTTTGTCGATGGCAGTGGCAAGGAGGGATGCGACTATCTGTCTGGATGTAAGATCACCAGAGAGCTTGCATCTCCATGTGTCAGTGCTGATATCATAGGCATACACCTCAGTGCAGTTCTGAAAAGCCGCAAGAAGGATTGGCATGTCATGATTGCATCGCCCATGTTTCACTGGCTGGTCCATGATCATGGTGTCATGATTACGCTTCATGGAACATGTGACAGGTCCGAATTGGTCATAGATGTTTTCTGAGGCAGTGATTCTGGCACAAAAATCGTAGAACTTGTCATCATGGTGTGCATATACTGTCAATCTGCGATCGGCGAGAAATACCACCAAATTGTGTTCGTGATATTTTTCAATGCATTTGCCTGGAAAGATGTGGCATTCTCCTTCCGATATCTGTACTTCTCCGGCAGTCCACCAAAGGTACGCCAGATCTCTTGGTGTGACGTCTGATGCAATCCAGAAAGGCACCTTCCCTTTGGGCAAATGCACAATGGCTCTCAGCGTGATGGCAAATGACAATGTGGGTGAAATGCCTGGTTCTGGTGAGTCTGGATCAATCTCAGTGACCATGGACATCGTCTTTGTGTGATTGTCATGAATCGCTTCAACTGGGGTGCACATGGAATGAAATCCATCAATGTCCCAGTACTGATGGTCTGGCAGCATGCTCTTTCCGTACTCTTGGATGAAGTGATGAATGTTGGCATGTTGATCATCTGTGAGATCTTCATCATAGATCATGTGACGGATGACACATCCTGCCTGGCCTGTGCGCATGATGACATTGGTGTTTTTGAGTCTTTGGGATTCCCATGTTCTGAAGACTTCTTGCATGGTAAAATTCATGTCAAACTGGGGCATGATCTTGAAGGCTCCTGTCAAAACCATCAACGCATGAAATGGTGTGATTTGATTGCCTAAAAATCTCCAGGCTTGTTGAAAATGCTTCAGAGCAAGGTACCTGCTGGTGACGCCATGCAATAATGCAATCTCACATGGATGCAGGAGTCTTGGCTCGGATTGTTCGTCCTGGATGAAATGTGCAAGGCATCCTTTTTCACGCAAAATGTCTGGGTTGATCTTGTGCTGATTACCATATGCAGCCATGATGACCGGTAGCTTCTGATCTTGGGAATAAGTCCTCATTTGCATGGGGGTCTTGTCTCCAAGCTTCCGTCGTTTGGCTGCTGGCAGGAAGTTCTGATCATGTACGATTTTCTTCATGTCATCGGAAATCTTCAGCTGTGGGTCTGCGATTTTGTCAAAGGGCAGGAGAGCCTGAAATGATTTTGGTGTGTGGTTCACGATGTCCTCATGTGGCAGCTTGAGATGTTCAATAAGCTGTTGTGGCGAAAATGATCTTTTCTTGATGTTGAAAACTGGCCTGACAAGGCTGATACCAGGTCCAGACTTTGGCTCAGCTGCATTTTTGTCAAATTCACTCACTGCATGCTCTGGCGGTGGTACCTGAGAATGGCAGTTTGCGTTCGGCTGACATTCTTTGTCTGTGTCACTGTCTGAGATCTGATTGAACAAAGCATCACCTGGTGGAAAATCTTTGCCCATGACACTTGGGGAAATATCAATTCTTGGCTTGATGTCATTATCCTGAGAAAGATCCCCAATGGAATTTCCATCATGTGTGTTTTGGCTGTCATGGTGGTACCTCAGGTGTTCCTTTGAAACGGCTTTGGGGACATGGTTCAACAAATCCGACATGATCATGTGTTGAAACTCTGTCGCATGGTCAGGCATATGACTGGGGTTTGCAAATGTGCTGGTTGGACATGGTTGCACAAATGGCTGCGGCACCTGAGCATCTGTGATATTGGATACACTCCGCTGGGACATGACGGGACAAGCATGGTTTGTGACATATGCCGGCTGGACAGACGGTGAATGCACGGTGGCGATACTGTCATCTGTACAGGTCGGATGTGTCTGCGAAGGCATTGCCGTATCCAGGAAGGTATCTTTTGTGTCACGAGTCTTCTTTGGCAAAAGGTTCTGACTCATGGCATGGTCAGGTTGCATGGACACAGGCTGAACATTGTGACCTGGATTGATTCGCAGTGGCATGTTATACAAGTGGTTGCATGACTGTGTGGTTGCATGGTTTGACGGTTGCAAAAATGGCTGCGGGACATGGACTTGTGTGGGACTTGACCAGTACTGGCTTTCGGACACGTGACCTACAGAAACATGGTGAGATGTCTGACGGTCGGATGCCGGATGCTCATCGGATGCATAGGCTTCGGATTTGGTTGGATGCATATCTGGCTCAGCACCTGAGACACATGCACTGCTGGACAAATCATGTTTGTGTTCATTTGGCTTCTTGTCAAAACCAAATTCATGTGATCTTTGAGCATGTCTGTCGCTTCCAGAGAAAATCGTGTCGACAGAAATATCCTCCCCCCCAAAACTTACAATCGGTTCATGTTGATCAAATTGCTCATCGTGATCATGTTTCGCATGCATGCAAGACAAACTTGACGGGCATCGATCAATTGGGGGGATGTCACTGATACGGTGAAGCAATGCAATCCATCTGCTGCGAGTGACGGGCCCACACACTGCGAAATCAAAACTTCGACTCCAGTTGATAGCATAACCAATCATGGAAATGACTTTGATGACATGGGATCTCTGTTCATGGGTGTTGAAACCTGTGACTTGTTCTAGTCCAATTACTTCCGGCTGCAGCAACCTTGCTTGGAACAATGCTTCAGGAAAACTGAGTCCTTCTGCTGAGAGCAGACCCTTGGCATGACCTGCCCCTGACCAGGGTTGGCATGGAGCACTGATAGTCAGGATTTGCGGGTGCCACTCTGCAATGGGTTCAATCCATGTCGTTGAGAGTACATTCCCATGGATTACACACCCTTTTGGCATCTGTTGCATCAAATTGGATGGCAAAGTTGCATAACCATTGACGATGGGGACATCATGATTGGCAGCGTAGTTTGCACATGCAATTAAATCGGATTCTACTGCAACGATCTGTGCTGAGATTCCATGGTAGGCACACAAATGTTTCATGCCATAGGTCCATCCACCAAAACCCCCACCGAAAAGTGACAACATGTGAACATGGTCATCAGCTGTGTTTCGAATTGGAATGACAGTCGTTTCATGATCAATTTCATAATCAAAGGCATCTCCAAAATTGCTTGCCCTCGCATTCATACACCAGAGAAAATCATGGTTCTTTGGCTTCATGCCTTGAATGTTCCAAAGCAATTGCACACTTTGGAGGGGTTTGAACTCATCCCATTGTAGGAAATCATTGAGAATCGCTGCACCAGCACAACCAGGAGGCACAAATTCTGTTGCGGAAAAGATGCGTCCCCTGGAACATGTGACATCACCTACCAAAATGTTTGGTCGTCCCAAAACTGTCTTTTGGATGTTGGCTCCACTGGCACTTTGAATTTCCTTGTCAATGATGAGATCTACCCAAGCAGTCAAATCCATGGCATCAGCGAATGATTGCACGGCCCAATGTTTGTACACCCCGGGATGTATCAGTCCAACCACGTGAAGGTCTTGGGCCATAGGACCACCTGAATTAAGGCCATTTCAGGATGATTCCCCTTGCTAACCATGATTCCAGTGAGGTCGCAGTGAGGTCGTTATAATTTACCCAGATAATTATCTGGTACTATTCCAAAATGATCATAACTAGCCCTTCAGCTGCCGAGCTTCCGCCGGCGGCGACATGGCTCCCGAGGAGCCCCGCGCCGGCGCCGGCGAATGTGCCGTGGCCAGCACCTCAGCCAAGCGCAGCCGCGGGCTCCGGGGGAAGATCCCAAGGGATGACCAACACATGGGTGATTTTAATGGAATCCCAATAGATTTAGTTACCAAACTTTAGTGATCCAATAATAAAAATGATGTCATGCCGATTTCATGGAGGTTTCCAAGGGTCCAAAGAATGTTTTAGCACTGCCTATCTATAGCTAAAGAAATAACCTGTTGTCTCTAGTGTTTTAACACTGATCAATGTGGTATTTAAACATATTTCATTAAACCATTAAACAGTACTAAACTTGGGAATATAATATAATTCCCATGGATATCTATGGAAATATGATGAGTTAGTTGACTTCCCAGTTCTAAATGGCAATGTTTACTCCAGTTACATGGTTCAACCGATCACTGCGGTTTCTGCGCCAGGGCACGTATCCACCGGTGTATTGTGTCCTTTGAGTGCTTCGATGTGGCTGGAAGACACGGCTACGCCGATCGCTGGCCTTGCAGTGCTTCTGCTAGAAAATCTCAACTCTCACGCTGATTCTATGCGATATTGATGTTTATGTTCAACTCTCAATGATCTTCGACTCTTGATGTTAGATTATGTATCATTAAAAATCTTTATGTTATATTGATGTTCTATTGATGTTCTATGATTCTAGAACTGCACGAATTTTGGACATGGGCTGTCAGCGCAAAGAAGGTGGAACCCGCTGGCCCCGTGCACCCCGTGGCCCTTCCAACATCTCCAAGAGACCGGACCAATGGAGAGAAATGGGAACCTTCTGGTAATTTATGGTAATTTGACATAAGTAAACTATACTTAACTATGGAAATAACATGAAATAACCATCTTGAATAGGTATAATCATGTATAATCATGAATCATCTATAAATTTGGGCCGCGTTCCATCGTTTCCCGTATGCTAAAGGATCCGTAGACTTGGCCCCGCGCCTGCGACAAATCTGCGAAGCTGGGACCTGTGCCACTCTGCAACCGACAGACTTCACCATTGTGAAATTCCAGGCCTGGGTTACCCTCTGGTAATGACTGACATAGCTATTGAAAATGACCATAGAAATAGTGGATTTTCCCATGAAACATGGTGATTTTCCATAGCTATGTTAGTTTACCAGAGGGTACATACTGCCGTGGTTGAACATAATATAAACAAATGCCAATTTATAGATGATTCAGCTATTAATTGTTGAACATGGTGAATCTCAATAGCTATATAAATTACCAAACGCTACGATTTCTGGGTATATCCTCATTGTACTTCAGGGCCCTCACCAGCTCCCGATGGGCCGATGAGCTTCTAGATTGACAGTCGCTGGCAGTGACGTGAGCAAAGGGGTGATCCCTCGGACTGCACCCAAAAAACCTGAATGTAGATCCAATAATGCAGATCCAATAATTCCTGAACCAGGGTTTCCCTTGCGGAAGTACTTAATATATAATATATATATATATATATTATATATATATATATATTATATATATATATTATATATATATATATATCTGATCTCATATGTATATATATATATGTGTGTATATATATATATATATAATTGGGGGGATATCTAGCAGCTAGCAAGGTGGCAAACCCAACAATAAACGACCACCAATTTCAGCACCCAAGTGGTAGCTTTGTGGAATCGGCTTTACCACATTGGTCGATTTGTTGCCATCTAACGCCGCTATAAATACCCATGAGCCATATTCAATGGATTGGTTTCAGGGAAAATTTTAACCGGAAAACCCCATATTTAATGGGAAAATCTATGGTTTCCTGTAGATTTTCCCTTAAACCAATCCATTGACATATATACTTAATCTAGTTCCAAACTATACTCAACCTATAGCTTTGGTTGCAAAATAAACTGTGGAATACCATGAGATCATACCGCCATTTGAGGTTTTCCTAAAATGGGTGATCCCGAAGTCACCATGGGTTTCAACACTCAAAATGGTCTATTGACTTGGATGATTTGGGGCTATCACCATGACTTAGGAAACCACCATTTGGTCAATGGGAATTTGGAATTCTAGGATCCTTTAAAATGGAGGTAGTATACCATATAACCATATGTTTGGCCATATTTTGTAGGGATATTCCCTAAACCCTAAAAATAGGCCTAAAAAATATGCCAAAAATATATGGAATCGGTACCTCCAATCAATCGCTACACCTCGCACACCGTCGCCTGGTGCAGAGCTACGGGGCGACCGTCCAGACGGACTCCGAACTCTCCTGGCGCTTCGGAAACCACGAGTCGGGAACGACAGGGAATTCGTCCAGTCATAAGTGGATACAAAGACTTACCCTATAACTAATCATAGTCGTAGGCTTATATAATCTTATATATATATGCGTGTGTGTGTGTGTGACTAGATATATGTATATATAATATATAATATATAGGTATGAATAAGTAATTATATATTATTGGGAATGATTGCCATGGTTATACAGTTATACCCATGAATATTCCCAATGGTACCTCCGAGTACCCTTTGGTAATTTTCGATATGGCTATCAACCCCTTGGCTTAACCGGCACAACTGTGGAATGATGTGGAATGTGGGCACGGCCACCGGAAAAACAAGTACTACCTGAAGTGTCTCCGAGTGGGTATGTCTTTTAAATTGATCTTTAGGATGAATCTGCACCTTTTTGGGGGCCAATAATTTGAGCCATGGCCAAACACTTGTTCGTATACGGGTTAGCAAGCAGAAATTCAGCAGTGAGTAGCCACTGGTAAACAAACATGACACCACGAATCCGCTATGAAACGGGGAGAGAGGCACATGATCCTACCTGTTGAACTTGGTGATTTCCAATTGGCCGGTGATTTCTAAATCGCATCCAAGCCGCATTAAGGGTGTGTGTGGCGTCGCCATCTGCTTGGTGATGATACCTCAGTGGGGGCCAGGGCAAGTCCAAGTGTGGTAGGTCTGCCGTGACACAATAGTGGCACTGTAGCGCGCAAAAAATGGGTTCTAAGTTCTAACCTAATGATAAAATCATAGAACATCATAGAACTATAAATTGGTCCATCTGCAGGCTTTATACCATGATCTTTTGGAGGTGCTGTAAAATTAACCTAGAACTCATGATGTTGGATGGCATCAAATATCGGAGCCATTTGAAATCCTCTGCTGTTAAATCTGCTGCGAAAGGCGCATGAGAAGTAACTAACTGGGTGGCTGCAACCCCCAGAAGCCTGGTCCATGGGTGCCTTCCCTAGCGGCGCTAGTCAAGTGGTTTCAAACCGGTCACCTTGCAAACCTGGAACTGGTATATATAGATATATATATATCCATATAATCCATATATTATGCTTCAAGAAACATATGCAGGTTGTGCACACCAAGCTTTGATTTGTTAGAGGATGCGGCTGAAATCCACATCTACCAAATTAACTTAACCGTTGCTCCTCTTGGCGGCCAAGACACCTTGAATTGGAGCCGCTGACCAAGTTGGCAAGGTATGGGTCATAGGCCTGCGGAAGATGGCTTTGGAGGTTACGCCGCAATTCATACTAGACCACGAATCAAAATAGCTGGTACCCGGATGGTACATTAAAATAGCTGGTGTAGCTGGATGTGCATTCCCCCCCCCAAAAAAAAAGATGTTATGTAGCTTAACTTATCCCCATCAGTTTTTTCTTCTGGACTGGATGGTCAACTCCTCAAAACTGGTCCGGCGCGGCGACTCGCCTCATGATGGGGGAAGAGACCGTCGGTAGAAGCGCAGCGGTTGGCACGCCCCCCGTGCTGGCTGAAAGGGAGCCTTGCCAACGTCTTCAAAGGGAGCCCCGGCGAAGCACGGAACAACTTGGAGGTAGCCCCTACTGTGACCACGAGTGGAACTCTGAATAGGGCCAGTGGTTACAGTTTTCTTTCCAAACAGGTGCTACATGGTGCAACGAAGGCTCCACAACTTCTGGTTTCATCATCAAACACCCAATAGAGTGAAGTTGAATGAAGTTGAATGTTTGATAATGTTTGCAACCCACCAGGAGGACACAACCCAACCGAACAACAAAAGATCTTCACAACCCACAGCGGTGCAGCATCATGGCACCTCCCTTGAAGTCCCGGTCGGTCATGCTCACTGGTAGCATAGTCTTGGCCCGCTTCTCTTCCTACGATCAGGGGAGACATGACCACAGTCACGCTGGCAACTGGGGAGGTATGGCTGAGACTGGCTCGCCCAACTTAGCAGTTGTTTAAAGACACAGGACACAGTATCTATACGGTCCATAGCATCCGAGCATTCCGTGTATATATACATATATATATATATACATGTCATAATCTACCTATATATACATACATGTATATATATATATATGTATATATGCGTAAATATATTATTATTAATTATATAATATTATATATCTGTGTGTATGTGCAAAATACCATTGAAAGTACTATCGAATCCGGATACCACATGCAAAATTCGAATCGATGACTAATGCAGACGGTCATTTATAGAGGCCATGATGGACTACAGTAGTTGCTATGATTTACCCTTTCAAACAATCATTCCGAGTGAAATCGTGCTGAGGTCATTGTAGTTCCCTAGATTTCTGGGGAGGTCGTTGAGGGGTGATCCAGTGATCCAGTGACATCCACTCCTCCAGTTTTTTTCTGAGTTCTTCAGGCAGCATCTCCTGGCAACCAATTTTCAGGCATCCGAAATGCTTGTTATGGAAATTTACCCATGAAAGCAAATATACCAGGATGTCATTTCCACGGCCATGTTTTAAAGCACTTTAATATATATAATGAAAGAAATATATATATATAATATTATATATTTATATATAAATGATATTATATATAATATACATATATCATATATAATACATATGTTATGCATATAATATATATATAATGTAAAATAGAATGTAAATATTGCATTATATATATATATGTATATTTAAACAAATATATAACATATAGAGAATGTATATAGTATGCAAAATACGTATATGATATATATATATATATATTAAAATTATATTTTATTATGTATCAAATCAAAAATATATAATATAGTATATTGCATATAATACACATAATATATATAATACATAAAATTAACTAATATATACTGTATAAAATATAATACATAATAAATATTTTAGGTAATATATATAAATATATTAATAAACATATTTAATATAATATATTGTAAAAAATAGAGAGAGATATGAAATATATAACATAATATTTATTATATATATACAATACATATAATATATTTAATGGAACGTATCAATAATATAATATAATATGAACATAATATGTATAACATATAATAATGTATATAATATACAAAATGTATAGTATATATACATATTAATATATAATATATGAAATATATAATTCATAATATATACATACAGTATTACATAAAATATGTTCTGATGGTTCTACCATTTCTTTCATGTACAATACCCTCCGATACTCAAACATGTCCGGCTGGAAAGTCCTCCATTTAGTTGGGGGACTTACCATGCCCATGTAAAAATATTACCAAAGGGTAAAACATCCCATCCCCCGGGGTCCCCCATATAATCCTATATATAACGAACACCTCATACATGGTCCCAAAATCCTCATACATGGGTGTTTAATAATTAAAATATGAACGGTGGAAAGGATTCACCATCCCATTCTTGAGCCCGCTAAGCCTCGTTGATTAATGACCCAAACGACACACTAGTTATGTGGCAGCCATTGCTGGCCTTGGGCGCCATCATGGGTGGCACCCCGGTATCTGCCAACCACGCCTTGGGTCACGCCCTCCATAGAAAGATAGAAAGGGATTCCTGACTATCATTGGGTTTATATGTATTTTTCTGAAAAGAATCAATTTTAGACTATAACCCTGGTAATGAATTACCATGATTTATCACAGATTTCTCACATGTGTTTTTCAATGATTTACTTGTCTATCGTTTTTCGGGTTGCTTCTTTTTGTGAAGGAAGTCGGAGTTGGCTGCGAAACATATGGTGGCTCACCCCAGAAATCGCGAGTGGACTAGTTCACCTAGGGTTAGTCCAGTTATAATGTGGGTTGTAACCCGCTTATAACAAATCTCATATTGCAGTCTTAAACTCAATTTTGGGAATGATGATGGTTGATGATGGTTGATGCTGGTTGATGCTGGTTGATGATGGTTGATGATGGTTGATGATGGTTGATGATCGTTGATGCTGGTTGATGCTGGTTGATGATGGTTGATGATGGTTGATGATCGTTGATGCTGGTTGATGCTGGTTGATGATGGTTGATGATCGTTGATGCTGGTTGATGCTGGTTGATGCTGGTTGATGATGGTTGATGATGGTTGATGATCGTTGATGCTGGTTGATGCTGGTTGATGATCGTTGATGATGGTTGATGATCGTTGATGCTGGTTGATGCTGGTTGATGATGGTTGATGATGGTTGATGATCGTTGATGCTGTTTGATGCTCGTTGATGCTGGTTGATGATCGTTGATGCTGGTTGATGATGGTTGATGATGGTTTAGAGGATGGTTGAAACTTCAATACCAAGATGTTGTATTGTCCAGATGTCAACCTTGGCCAGAACACAATGAGGATCAACTGGCTGGGGCAGCCATTTATTGGGCCGCCGATGTTGATGAACATTGGGGACTTGACCTCATTGAAACTTCAACAGCCCTGGGCCCAGGGATCACCAAGGATGGATGGGACCTTCACCATGGCTGAGGTCCAAACATGCTTGCCTAAGTGCGGCAGGATCAGGTTTTCAAAGTCCGAGAAGAGGCCACTGATTTTGGGATACCTACTATAAATCTACAAACTATTCCATGTTTGGGATACCCAAGTTTCACGGATCTTAATATCAGAGCGTTTGGCCTTGGCAGGAGAAATCTTCATGGTGGCCGAAAGAATCAAAACTTTGAGGGGCTTTGAGGGGCCTTATTGCTGCTTGCGGGTTTAGATACATGCGATTCGATGTCTCCACTCTACATTACACCAACATTCATATCATTCATAAACCGTAATATTATGTATAATATGTATTACTATTCCTATTACACTCATAAACTGTAAAATGATGATATATGATGTCTTAGATGTATTATGTATTTTCTGCCACAGTAATTTACATTTACACTAATTCAATGCATTTAACAAATGCTGCGGTGGCAACCGAAATGAATTACCTGGGTAAATAATACTATTTAACTAACCTGAATCGTGCAAACATTTGGGGATGAACTCCCTTATTAACCATGATTCCAGTGAGGGAGGACAGTGATCTTTATAGTTTTCCCTGATTATTATACGTATAATTATAATTAATTATATATATACTGATTATGGTCACTAACTACAATAAGAGTTACTACTGTAATGATTGTTCAAAATGGTGATGAGTTACTCATCTTAGTCAATGTCGATTCCTCAGAATTATGGTCCATTTACGGAGGATTTACCGTAATATTTACCTATTGAGAAATGGTGGTGGCTTCCCATTCCACGTGGAATCGTTTTTTGTGCCAAGGTGCAAGCTTCAGCGATGGACATGCGTTTCGAGGGCTCCATCTGCATCAATTTGAAGATGAAGTCGATACCCACAGCCCTGGGGACGCGGCTGTTGACCAAAGAGTAAGTAGCCTCTGGTGATTTTAGAGTTGATTTATAGTTAATTTATAGTGAAAATGGCCATTCATATCCATTTATAGTTGATTTAAATTAATATTATAACTAGTGAAAATGGCCATAGAAATAGTTGATTTACCTATTAGACATGGTGATGTTCCATTGCTATGTTAGTTTACCAGAGGGTAATCTACAAAAAAGTTTCACATGCGCAGACGGAGACGAACAAATTTAAGAAAAAGGAAAAGCATTCGCGGAACCATCTGGAATCAGAGACTTTGAACATCTTTTAACCACACTTTGGAATCTCTTCCTGTCAGCGGTGCAGCATGGTGTAGCCCAGTTATCCCAACTCTGTGCATCGGGCACCCCTGACCGGACCCGAATCCAATTAATTCGCCACGGGACGAGAAGTTTGGGGTTTTCGTCTTGAAAAGCTCATCAAACTTTCCGCTCCTGCACCGGCTGCTGAAAGTTGAGACCACAGGCCGGTTCACAGGGATGGAACAAGAAAAGCCCATGGCGGATCAAAACATTGGGCAACTCAATAGTGGTTCATTGTCCATCTCAATTTGTCATGAAGATTCGAGAATCCATGCTGAACTGGGTGAATTTCAGGAAGAGTTGTGAACATTGGTTTTTAATGTCCGTCTCATTTTTCTTCCTATCATTTGACATATGCATACAGTATATAGTGGTTTTCACGGTTCGTTTTCCATTTACTGTATATTATTCTGTGAATATGTTTGATATTAGGTGAATCTTCCTTAGCATATCTTAGCATGCAAAGATGTCTCCCCACATCTCCCCAATTATTGACCCATTCTGTTCCCATTGCACCACCATTTTTGTTGCTCAGATCCCCTTTTTCTTCTCGGTGAATCACCGTGCCCAACCTGAAAAGCGTCCAATCCACATCCTGACGGGTGCTGCGATGACCCAATGGATTCCATGGATTCCATGAGACTGATTTTTCTCAAGGACATTCAAGGACTGAAGTACCCTCTGGTAAACTAACATAGCTATGGAAAATCACCATTTTTAATGGGTAAATCCACTATAAATGGCCATTTTCAATAGCTATGTTAAATTACCAGAGGGTATCTGAAGTGTCTGAAAAGAGCCACAGTCCTTCTGAGCAGGGTCAGCGCTCATAAACAAAGGCTGCGCGGTGAGCAGGTAGAAGGTACTCCAACCTACCAGCACCAGTAGGTACAACCCAAAAGGACCTGCAACTGAAATCAATATATCGTTATAACATGTTATAACATGGTATGATAATTCTGAAGTAGATAGAAGATCGGATTTTCAAATGAAATATTCCCATCTGAGGATTTTGTTCGAAACCTCCATCCTCATATATCTTCGATCTACCGTACTCCAGGGTGGGGCAGCGCTTCGCTCTACGGCGCTCTGCGGCGCCTAGGCACCAAGAATCCACCTTTGTGGCCAAGTAGGACTTGTGCTCATGAAGTTCGGGTGGTCGAAACGACTTGCCTTAGCAACGTGGTGCACTGCGTGCCCAAAAGGATGGGTCTGAACGGCCTGAACATTGGGATGACAAAAGTGGGTTCAACCAATCTGGGATATTCATCAAGGGGATAACTACTGTAGACTAGATAACATAATCAGCAATATGAAGATTGGCTGCATGACAATGGAGTCCAATGAGGTCTACCCCCATTTTCACGGCAGCTGCAGGTATATTATGTTCAGACAAACCCACGTAGAGCTATGTAATGTTGGCAACCCGCATCCTTTCATTGAAAGAATGCAACGCCCAAGAATTCCACGGGCCAAGCCTAGGGGACGTTCCTCAAAACACAACAACTACTTCCAGTAGTTGAGAGGAACTATCCTACGGTAAAACCATGCCGGTATGCCATGGTATGCCCTGCCGGTGTATCCCATCACCAAGCTCTCAGCCCAGCTGGGGTTTTGACCGACTAAGCCATGGAAATTCACTGGAACTTCCTGTCCCTTCGAGTCCGTCTGGAAATGCGCTGCCTAAACGCGCAAATGCAGAGCCGAGGAACGGATAGGGGATCCAACAAATCATGGACTTATTTGAAGTTATATAAGTTATATAAGTTATATCTTGATATACCTTATTATACCTTATTATACCTTGTTATACCTTATTGTACCTTATTGTACCTTATTTATCATTATCCATCTTGTATGCCCTCGTTCTGGAGGTGATTAATTTGATAACCTACCTTTCTGGTTGTTATTTTCCCCGTCTCTCGCTCGAGCGAAATCAGCAAAGTCCCTTGCAATGCCGAGGTGGTTCATTGTGGATTGCCGGTTAGTACTAACTCACAAACCTGAAACGCAGGCATTTTCAGGGTTTCCCTTGCCATCATTAAGCATCATTAAGCATCATTAAGCATCATTATCTTTGTTGACTTTTGCCGACATCCCTACATCGTTCATCCGGAGGAACCTGGCAGGAATATTAGACCTCGCTGATCTGACCGATTTAACATAGATACCCTCCGTGTAACCCATGTATAGATGATGTTCCCATTAAACCTCTATAGTTCCAGTGCATTTTGCCCCTGCCATCTTTGACTTCCGGGGGAGTACAGCATGTTATTTTCATATATTTTCATGAGATATGAATTGATATGAATTGAAAGCTTCAACATCTATAGAATTATAGAACTCTATAGAACTCTACAAGTTTGGTGGCTTTGGATGGTATGAAATCTTCATTTCGAACACTGCAAACTCGGTGGATCACCACGCCTGACCAGGATCGCAGATCTTCACCTCTCATGTGGCGATCTCTCGTTTTGGGATCACGTGTTGAAAAAGGTAACCTGACATGGAAAGCCTCGGAGAAAAAGGCGATCAGCGGAGATCAGATGTCAAAGGTGGAATGTTGCTACGTTTCTTACCCCGCAGTTTGGGATTATCTTTCTGAGTAATCTGGTTGAGAATGAAGCATGGTCAAATGAACGTGCTAGCTACTGCAGCCTTTTCCTAGGCGCACCCTATTTTTTTCAAGTGGTGCAATCAGTCCAAATCAATGAATAAAACCAATACCTAAATTACAATTGCATTATACGGATATATATATATATATATATATATACATACATACATATTAATATTACATATATTTATATTACATATAATTATATATACATATATTACATTGTGACATTTCGAAGATTCCAGCATTTGGTGCCCTCGGCCTCCAATATTTCAGTGGGGGCCAATCTTTAGCTGGCAGTTCTCAGGCAAAACCAAGTTCCTTTGCCCCTGTCAGATCTAAACCAGCTGGGAAATGGCCGACAAAAAGAGCGAACAAACATTTAAAAAAAAACAGGTATTAAATGGATCATTCCAGGGATCATCCCATGCGCGCCTGCCAATTGCCATTGCCTAAGCAGATCTAAGCAGTCACGAAAATTCTCCCACGACTGGTCGGTTTTTCATTAGTGGCATGCCGATTGGAAAGGGATTCCCCAAAAGAAAACACAACAAAAACACGTCACATGGACCTGCCAGGCGCCTGACACACCATTCTACTCATCCAATATCTGCAACATCTTAAATCGAAAAAAAAAACAACACACGAGGAGCACCCAAAATGGCAATATTGATAGCCTCTGGTTATGACTAACATACCCATGGTATAGATGGCCCATAGAAATAGATGGTTTACCTATGAAAAATGGTGATGTTCCATGGCTATGTTAAATAACCAGATGGTAATTCGGAGCAATCTTCCCAAGGCCATGGTTTAGGTCTGTTGGTTTTCGGCGGGACTTGTTTCATACCAACAAGGGTTTTGCGGATTCGACAGTTATGGAAAGGAACCTAGAAACAACATTCGCAACGGGACCCGGGACGCCAGTTCCATTGGATTTTGTTAGCTGATTTTTCAGGCCAGTCCATTTACTTGATTGAGAGTGGCAAAAAACCATTAATATCATCCATTAATAAACCATTATATTATGTCCATTAATATCCACTAATTAGATATTCATTCATATCCACTATATGGATAATATCCATTTAATATGAATATATAATGAACATCCATTCCGTCCCAAGCCACCGATTCAAGCGTATCTTTGACGCCAGCAAGATCTGATGCAACGCCACGTCACTGGGATTGACGTTCAGCAGCATGTTCTCCAACGACACGTCCTGCATCGCCACACCTGGGTCGGCTCCGAGATGGTGTGGCGATTCCCCACAAATGCAGCGAAATCCTAACATAGTGATTGATGATTGAGGCATGTTTGCGTTTTTTCCAGGCTTACTATAGGTTAATGTATTTTATTATTATTATCATTATTATTATATTGTTATTATAGAATATTATAGATCCCAATTTTTGGGGCTTTGGAGGTTACCGACCCCGTTTCAACATGGTGCACTTACGTCAAACCCCAGGGGGATGGGATGGCTCCGCCTCTGTCGTGGAGGTAGGTGAGGCCCAACGCAGCCTGACAGGTGGAACTCTACAGGGCACCCAGGTTTTTTCCCCTGCAAATGGAGGGTCATGTAGATGTTCCCTTCAACCAATCCAATGAAAAATAAACCATGTGTTTAATAATTGTTTAATATTGTTTATCGTTTTGTCTTGGTTTCTGGCGGCATATTAACCAGCAAGATCTTGGATTATGTTGGATTTAACTCCTTTAACCCACGGGAGTTTGGAATTTATTCTCCCAACATGATGTTTGAATGGATTGGCCCAAGGATTTTTTAAAGAAACATATGCAGAAAAGTCAGGAAACCATGCTCTTGACCCGTAAATACAGTGTACACGGGCAGATTTTCGTTTCAACCAATTCTGGGACCGGGAATCTCGGGACACAATGAAGCATCGCCATGAAATTGATGGCAATCATTCTACGATCCCGTTTTTCAAGAGACTAGAGATGCAAGCGGGTATGATATCAAATACTTTCAAATCCCTGGAAAATGTTGCTGGGGTATGCTGGGGTGCCCTATGGTGCCCTGAGCTCTGGATCTATTTGGCAAGTGGGGATGACAAGACCCCTCTTGCCAAGGATGGGATCCCAATGGCTTTGCCGCGCTTTGGCCGAAAAAAAAAAGCGCCCATGGGTGCCCCAAATTACAAGATTCCCCATTTGATGATGTATCCTGGTGCTTTTTGCACCTGTCGACTATCTCAGGTACCATCATTTCCTCTCGCAAAATGCAAGTTCGAATACATGTTTCTAGTCAAAGAGGTGGGAACAACACTCAATAAATGCAATTCCGCGATTCGTTCAACATGCCCATCACGGTCAGCAGCAGTTGATTTGAATCTTGAGTGTTCAAAAGGGATACGGGCATTGTCAGTCATTGCTGAATTAGACCAGTTCAAGAACAAGCATTCCGCAAATTTGCTCCCTTCCAAAACCACCCGGGACCCACCCCAAGGAAAATTCTGACTTGAGGGGGTCTATTGCAAGTGGAAAACCTCGCCAACATTCCTGCAAGAACAAGTGACAAGAAGTGAAGTTGATGTAAAACTTTGAATCGCACAAAGGCAACCATGGGCATGTGCTTTACGTCCACATCTGGGTGCATGTTTAATCTGGTTGGATGCAAAGATAGTCAGTGCTTCACTTTCTATTGAACTATTTTGATCTATTCTGGGCATTGGCATTCCCCAAAAGATGCGACACGTTTCAAGTTTTTCTGAGGAGAGTTCAAATAGTGAAAATGATTTCAAGCGTCACTTTCCATAAGACTCTTTCTTTTTCTCTCTCTCTCTCTCTATATCTTTGGCCCCAAGAAGGTGGAATAGATAGTCAAACACCATTTGCAAATTTCGTATCTTATGAAACCATGGACAATTTCCATGGATATGTTGGACTACTGGACTACCGGCAAATCTTACGTCTTACGTCTTGTGACGCAAACGAAAGCCCCATATTTGATGGTAAAAATCATCGCCATGGCTTTCCGGTTGATCCCAGCCTGTCGAATGAGAAACTGCGCATGGCGCTCATCAAATCCCATGGGCTTCCTTGGGAGCAAGGGGGAGAACTCTGTATTTAAGGGAGTTGTGCTTACCGTTTGGGAAATGAGTGGAAATGAAAAGTGGTTATAGTTGGTTACCCTCTGGTGAACTAACATAGCAATGGAAAATGGCCATTTATAGTGGATTTTCCCATTAAAAATGGTGATTTTCCATTGCTATGTTAGTTCACCAGAGGGTATAGTTTCCATACCAGCCAGGTGGTAAGTGGTCATCCTTCCATGTGTGGATCTAGCTGATCTAGCATGGAGATGCTTGGAGAATCATCCCACGGATCGTAAGTGGTGAGTAATTAACTGGGATTAGTTCACCCATTTGTAAATGGTATAGTCCTGGTTGGTGGTAACCATCTTGAAAAATATGAGTCAATGGGAAGGATTATCCCATATATTATGGAAAATAAAAAATGTTTGAAACCACCAACCAGCTACTTAATGGGTGCTTACGATCACCAGGGTTGTGAACATCACTTCCGATCGTTACTGTGGGATGATCCCTCACGTAGTGTCATTGAAAATATGATTAGATGAATATCAACTATAGAAATAGTTTTGGCTACTAAGGATTAAAAAAAACAATGACAAGCACTTGCCGATGCTGATTCCACAAAGATTGACATTGATTATGACATGATCGGTTGATAGTGGTAACTGATACTAATTACCCAATAAATAACTGGTTCGTAAGTAGGGTTAGTGCACCCACTTGTTGAACAACATGTACACCTAGCAAAACCTAGTTGGGGGACTTATGATCACTAGGGTTACTAGCGAGCTACTAACTGGGACTAAGTACCCTCTGGTAACTTACCAGTTTGCTATGAAAAATGTAGCATTTAGTTCGATGATTTGCTCATGACAAATGGTGATATTCCATGCCAAACCGTGAAAAACTAGCAGAAAGTATATGGCCGTGTGGGGGGATATAGATATACTTATATACTGGCTTATGTAAGGGGAACGGTGGGCATAATGATTGTGATGATCAAGCCTTGTGGTGTGCACCCAATGCCACGCATTGCCTCACCAGTTTTCTGGAGGGTCATAGCCAACATCGTCCCATGACTGACAGTATAGACCCCAAATGGGGATGGGTTATTGGGTTTACCCTCTGGTAAACTAACATAGCTATGGAAAATCACCATTTTTAATAGGTAAATTAACTATAACTGGGCCATTTTCAATAGCTATTTTGACATAACCAGAGTGTACCATATGATAAGATGTTGCCATATTGTGTTACGTCGCGGATATCTTATGTGCCTATGTGGAAGATCCAAGATCGGCGCCAAAATGATATGGAGCTATTTGGGGTTTTGCTAGCAAGGACACCAGATACGAGCAGATAGGAACTCAACCAACCTCCCCAAACAAGACCCCAAATAATGGCCCTTTTATTAGTGGTTATTGCAATTGAAAAAAATGCAGAAAAGGTTCGGGGCCTTACTTTTCTGCATCTTTTCGGGCGTTACTATTTAAAAAAAAACATTTCGTTAGCTCCTCCATTTATAGGGGATGTCCCGGCCAGCCATGTTTGCTGACATGTGTTAAAGCAATCCCCATGAAATTTCATGAATGTCCCAGGAAAATGTTCCCATCAAAAAGCAGCAGGTTGTATAAATATTAATAAATCACCATGAATTTTCGAGGTTTCCGAGGTATCCTGACATGGAGCTACCCGCAAATCATCCATTTTTCCTTGGGATTGTCCATTCTAAAACCATCCAGCTATGGCAGAGAAGCTGTTTCAAGGCCTCTAACAGGTCGCCGCCTGGCGGAGCGGCGACTGGTGCCCATCTGAGTTCATGTTGATTCATAACGGTTAATTAATAATAGTTACTAATGGTTATTATACTGATTATGGTCACTAACTATAGTAATAGTTACTAATGATTGTTCGAACTACTTATTAGTATCTAATTAGTATCTAATCATCTTAGTTGTTGTCGATTCCTAATGATCTAATGGTTACCTATTCATTCTGCATCATTATTATTGTTCGTCATTAACCCATAAGTTAACCAGTATTAATCATAGTGACGAGTAATGTTTACAAATCATTCATACTGGTTAATAATAATTAATGATGATTAATTGTGTTTGTATTACATACCTTTAGTCAAAAGAAATGAACATGAAAAATCATGAAACACCTTTTTGGGTACAACAAATTCACCCATACTATCCCATACCCATCTGGAAGTTGTGTGATAATGGTGAATAATGGGTACTAATGATTAATGGTCAACAATCTCAACAATGATTAACTCATGACTGATGATTGTTAATCATGTTAGTGAAGCAATAATAAACAAACTGTCTTTTGATGTTTACACCACCCACAAAAATTGTAAAAATTGGGGATGATGGACCCTATTGCTGTACTAACAATACTACAAACGTTTTTTGTTTAGTGAAGGAACATGAAGGAACATTTTTGGGCCTACAGAATTCGCCCATGCCATCCCATACTCATTTGGAAGCAGTGTGATATGTTGTTTCCCTATGTTTCCCTTCTGGAAGCATGAAGTGAATGCTATTATTTCATCCTGACGTGGCCTAAATAAACACAAGAATAGTTCGAATTGAGGTTGCAAACCATGGTACTTCTAATCACTAGTCAACAAGTACTGTATCGTGGCAAATGGAGATCTCCAAACAGACAGTCAGTTAAATCACCATCATGAATTTACTCATATAAGGAAACCCAGAAAAATAATCCATATTCCCTATCGCTTTCCCAGGCAATCCGCCCATTGGGAAAATAAATGAACATAAACCAAATCATCATCGAGTAAATCCAGGGATAGTAGGGATTTATTTTGCATTACTTGTCTTCTGGGCTACGCACGTAATGTATTGATCACCAAAGATTTTGGGACTTGACAAGGTAGCAACAAATCAGCTTGGCTCACAAGGCTTTTCCGGTCATCCCAACACTCAGTCACTTGCAACAGTGTTTGAGGATCCTTAGGAAAAGTTAGTAATGGACAGTTGGAAAAAATAAGTTAGTAATGAAAAGCTAGTAATGGATAGTTAGTAATAGGAAAAGTTCTTGATCAATCACTTGATGCGAAACAACTGCCAGCAATGGACAGTACAGATTTGAAAAAATGGCGGTAAAGTTGGCAGTAAAGATCACCAACTGCCCAAGTGGTTATGGATTACACCACTTTATTTCATGGTAAAGATCTATAAAGTGTTTACTCAGCACCAGAAACAGACTGCCATAATCTGATGTGCTTGAATTGCTCAGCTCCTCCTACCAAGTTCCCCCCCAAGCTCCGCCTTTGCAGAGCTCGAAGACACAGTAGTGGCAATACCTCATCACAGTGGATTTCTGGAGGGGAACCATCATGGGAACCAGCCAAATCATGAAAAATACCTTCGGGTAACCAGCGAAATCCATGGCCATGGTTTGGAAAATCCACCAGTTCTAGATAGTTATAGTTATAGATCTATGATTTTCCCATGATTTTCCCACTAAAAAATCTCCATTTCCGTGACCGGGGATGTCTTAGAGTTAATGGCCACATTTGATGACCGGATCCCCCAGTCATGGTGCATCAATACCAATGGGCCCTGCTATATATATAAATTTTATGCACACACATAAGTATATAAATAATATATATATATGTGTATAATATACTATTATATATGTATGCACCTGCTAATTATAATTATAAACTATTATATATATATATTAATATACATATACACCGACTCTGGTCTCTGGTAATCTCAAATTCTGATCTTTGAAGAGAAATTGAGCCCCCCTGAAGCAACGATGACTCGTCCCGGTATCCCAAGATATCCCATCTTCGGATAAAACGTCAAGGCTCTGATCATCGAAGTGCTCCTCTACCTCCATGACATGCCTTGGCGAGGCACCGCTATGTCTTTCTAATCGGATTTCCCCAGACCCAGAAATGTCGCCAAGTCACTCATGGCCACGCATCACCTGCAGTCACGAGCCAAGACTGACTTGGACATAATCCATGAGAAAATTCGATGGGATATATATATATGTGTGTGTGTGTCTGGGTAAATTATAATGTTTCAATAACCTGAATCGTGCGGCCATTTGGGGATGATTCCTCTTATTAACCATGATTCCAGTGAGGTCGAGTCGCAGTGAGGTCGTTTTAATTTACCATAATTTACCCAGATATATGTATTATATGGGCTTTAGGTGCGTCTGAAAAATGGTTGGCATCCCTAAATTTCATCGTCTTTACAATTTAGTTACTTGATTAATTAATTACCATGTACCATGTTCATCCATTTCCCAATTAGAATTGCAATTTTGGCTTGTGTTTTTCACTTGGACCAACCACGACCAACCCACAAAAAAACCACGGCCTAGGCTGGACATCTAGACCCCCTTGCAGGTCTGCGGGGCCCTTCAGCCCAGCGGCATCTGCGAATTTGATCTCGCTCAAGGGGACTTCACAGAATTCGATGGAGTTGTTCTCCTCGACCTTCGCTGCAAATGGTGGAGACTGTCATCCAGGATGAAATGTGATGAGTTCTGATGGTTTCTGAGTTGTAAGATTTATGGCCTATGGGATCTTATAATTGGAGGTTGAAAGCATGTTAAATCTTGCAAAATGCCACCGTTGGGGTGATCTAAGGCATGATTTGAAGGCAAGGTACACATCTCAAGCTGGCTTGCGGGGCTAAATGAACATCACCTTCCAAGACTATTCAAAGTGACCTTCTTAATCCCAGCACTTCGCTTATCGAAACTAAAAAACGATTCGATAATCACTTCGAAACCAGGATTTTGTTGGGTCCAGGCCTTCTGCAGTTCGCTCTTGTGAAGCACCTGCCCATGGAGTCATGGAGCCCAGAGGTTCCAGGCTTCGTTCCCACCATCTTTAGGTATGGCTCGGTGCTTCAACATGCTTCAACCATCTGGGTAAATTTCATTAAATTACAATATTTCATCAACCTGAATCGTGCGGCCATTTGGGGATGATTTCCCAAATTAACCATGATTTCCAGTGAGGTCGCAGTGAGGTCGTTATGATTTACCATGGTTCAACCGTGCTTCAACCCACATCCTGCATCCCCCGCACATCCCCATGGCACGACAGCACCGAAGTTTTAAGGATGCCATCGGAGCTATGTACACGGCACCCTCAGGTGATCCAAACCACATGAAAGCACCAGTCAATTGACCAGTGCCTAGGGCCTAGGCTTAGTTCACCCCCATTCAACCCCCATTCTATCATAAAACAAGTAAAGTCTGAGTCCTAAGAATCACCAGGGATGAACTTGGCCTTGCCCATTTGCTATGGGTCAAAAATACCAAGAACTACCGCAAACTCGACGCTTCTTTGAGCGTCTGCCAAACTGTGTTGATAATTTTTGATGGTGTGTTACAGTAATTGTCCCTTAATTTTCTGCAATTACATGTGATTACAATACTGATCATTCATCACTGGGGGACAGCATTCATAACAGTATAATGTATAACCCAACATATATGTGGTTATAATGATGGTATTACATAACAGTATTCATCAATATGATTACAATACTGTATATGGTGGTGATCATTCATAACCCAACCATCACTGGGATGCAGCATGGGGCAGCACACCCCGTCCCGTGATTGGGACCATTTCTGCACTGGGAGGCCCCGCGACCTCCATGCAACCGTGGCCATCGCGCCCAAGGAGCCGGCTGCAGCGGGGAGAACAAAGGAGCAGACTCAAAGGCAGGATGATCAGGGCAAGGACTGCAAGGACCTGATGTTTCAAGGGTTTCTTTCTATAAAAGTTTTGGTTTTAAAACCAGGCAAACATCGAAAACCGGGATGAAAACGGTCACAATGTTTAACAATAGGTCACAATAATTTGGAATTCGGAGTTGCATGCTTGGTTGCTTTCATCCTGCACAAAAACAAGCGCCAAAAGACTAAGAATCAGCAACAAAAAAACAGTTGGAAAAATCCAGTGGATTGTTGAAAGTTTCCGGCCGGGAACGCTGGGGATGATGATTCGAAGATCTGCACCAGGACTCTCTGAGCCTGGCTGAGTTGCAGCTGCGACAAGAGATATACACGCAGGGACCATTCACACGACACCATGTTGTTTTATTATTAAACTATAATGTGGGTAAAACAATATAATAAAATTATCCCCCAAAATCACCATTTTTATAGGTGGTATAAACCATTCCCAAATGGGTGGGTTATGGCATTGTTTTACCCACAGTACTAGTATTGGGGCTTCCTGAGAGTTTCCCTTCATTGAATTCTGAAAACAAGTGTTCAGAGGACGAGCAATGGCATGCAAATGCACCTGACAGTGTGGCTTCTGAGAAGTTACCTGATCCCCCACATTAGATGAATTACACACGATTTAGACATCTAGGAAAAGAACCACTATATATTATGGGCAATTATATATGTATATATTATGAGACATACCCCGACATTACATATAACAATATAAAATATTATATTATAATATACCCTAGACTGCCCTAGACCCAACCTCACAGGGTCTTTTTTGTTCCCCATTGCTGGGACCATTTTCCAAATGACTGCGGACCCGTAGAAACTCATCCCGAGACAAAAGCGAACATTGAACCCCCCCAAAAAAAGTGCGTTGAACGATTGCCCTCTGAATCGCTGAACATGATAGTTGTGTCATGCTAGACTTCTGGAGGCTAAGTCTCGAAATCTACAGGAAACCATGGTTTTTCCTATGGAATATGAGGTTTTCCGCCGTAAATTGCCCCTCAGACCAATCCAAAGTCTCCAAATGTCACCGTCCCAAGGTAAAGGCGTTCCTTGCGGTAGAGCACATATGAGGCCGTCACGCGCCATCTGCTTGCAGAAGAAGTACCAGGAAAGCTCAGGGCCATCCATGATGGAATTGGCACCAAGCCCCAGGATCAAATCGTGTCCCCCTTCAAAGAGGCATTCGGCCACAGTCGTGCCACCCAAACAATCCTCAGATTCTGCGCTGAAATATCACCTCAAGGGAGTCACGAGTTCATTGTTTATTGTTTCGATATGAGCATGTGATTTTGATTATGCAAATGCGGACGCTCACAGGCATTTGCGTGGATGTATATATATATATATATTGTACGTGACATGTACACTTATAATTATGGTGCACGCAAAAACTATACATATGGAATTATGGAATATGGATATAGTGACAATAATTGTGGAAACATATTGGAAACATAAAGGACTATTGTATATATATATATAAACAATCATAAATACTGTAATTATGTGTGACCATATGTGTATGATTTGGCAATCCATTGCAATCTTGTCAGTTTGGCTCCGCGTGCTACTCGTGGCGAGTTCGGTTCTATCCTTCGAATTCTGCCTCCCCAGCCACGAACCTTTGCCTCTTACATTGCATACACCCCAAGAGTGGCAACTGGAAATCCCTTCTAACGGAGCTTTCAATGGGAAAATAATCTACAAATAAGAATGTTCCATTGCCATGCTTGACTACCGGCGGGTAGATCAGTTTGATATTGTTACATTCCTCCATTTGCTGCCAAGAAAAAATAACCTTGAAGGTTTGACAAGGTTCGTAGCCATATTCCATGCAAGACAAGGCCTGACTGTCAACTTTCCGTGGAGGTTCCAGGGTTCTTGGACTGTCGTTGGGGCATCTGTTGTAGTCCTTGTACGCCTCCACTACAGCAGCATCACTGGCATAGATATAACCTGCGACCGTTGCCGCCACCACTGGCACCACTACAAGCTAGTGCATGCTCTTCATTTTGGATTCATCATGTGACTTCCTAGGGTGGCTAAATCTGCAATCATGAATCCAACAAAAAACAGTTGCAGAAAAAACAACGACCTACATTGGTTGTTGAGGTCCTAACAGTCTTATCATAACAGCATGTGGTGCCACTGACTTGGAGCTTCTACCGCAGAAGCTCATCACACGCAGCAAATCATGAAAAGGCAACCCATGAAAACATTGTAACACACGCATGGGAAGATAATAACTATAGTTAGGAATCTCAAATTCAATGATATAGAATTCACAGAAGCAGGTGTGCGGTCCCTCTTTTCACTTCTGTCTGATGAGGTACTTTTGAACATGATGCTCTTCCATCCGGAACACTATAAGCTGGAAACATTATCCGTTATCCAAACAATCAAGGGGCCTAAACAGCCTGGATCATGATTCTTTGGCGGCGGTCCCAATAGCAAAAGGAAACACACTGGAAAACATGTTCGACCCAAGGTCCCTCACTCCATCTTGATGATAAGTCATGAGACCTCCCATGGATATTGGGGGATTTGAAGAGTGTTTGAGACAACCTAAATTGATAACATGTGATCTTTGGATATGTTTAGCCATTTTAGTGGTTCTACAACACTTTTCTTTTGGAAATAAATAGCCATTCATCACCATTAGTCACTATGAATCACTCTTTTCATCATCATTCATCACCTTTTGATCATCACCAGTCACTCTCATCCCACGTCCATCCCACCAGCTGAATCTGCCAAGGACCATCCCACCAGCTGGTGGATCTGGGCCGATGTCTGGGAATGGTCTGATCCGAGAGCCCCTGCAGCAGCAGCATGGAGACAGGAGGACCGCTACCTGTGCCACGCCCGGCGACCAGGAACCGCCGGGAATCAAATGGCGGGGAAAGAGGTGAACATGTGAGTCTGAAGCTACCTTCCCTCATAAGTTGGACCGAAGAATCTCATCCTGAGGCTTCAGTGGGGACAGCACCGCAACAGCAATCTCGCTCCATCAAGTTGTTGTTGTGTCCTATATATATATATATATATCTACTATATATATATATATATATATGCGTGTGATTATGTGTGTGTGTGCATCACCCGTTGAAAGAACACTTGTCATATACACATGCAAATATACATATTATATATATATGAATATATAATAATATATATATAATGTATATTAATAAATAAATAAATATCTATATATATTATGCATATAATAATAAACAATGAAATTATATATGGTCCCTATAATGCAAGCAGCCCTGCACAGCAACTAATTACATGCAACTACAGTGCCACATTTCCAGCATCGACGAGTGACGGGTGAAATTACGCTCGTAGCCTCAGCCGTTCAGCCGTGCATCACGCATGGATCTCCCTTCGATCTCATGACAGTGGGCAACTGGAAATGCAAAGTGCTTGGGATTTCACATGGTTGACATCCGAATTCACATATATCATCTATAATATTAAATATATATATATGTAAAAATATATGATAAGATATATACTCATCAGATAATATAAATACATATACACAGTATTATGTATGTATATGATTGTATATGTATGTATTATATTTATATCATGATCTATCACTGCCATGGTCATGATATCTCCCTGCTGCCCAGGCTCCCTGGTGTGGTTTGCCGCCGCAGTCGGCTGCCACGGCCCGGAAGTGCTCGGGCAGCCGACGGGCCAAGTGATGCACGAACATGCCACCGTTGGAACAGCCGTAGGCGAAGATGGCGCCTAACGTACGGCAAAGGTGAGCTGTTTCACGGGCATTCATTGGCGTAATCCTCCCAAAAAGATGGATAAAAGTAGAATCCTACTAGAATAGGGATGATTTTGCTGCATCTAAAATTGGGGGTTACTGAATTATCTAAGTTGGGCTCATATACGAACCATTTCAGTTTATTATCCAACTATCATCCACTATCATACTTATATTGGGGGGCTTGCTAGCCAGGGTTGTTTACCACTCGATAAGTGAGCAGTCTTGAAAACCCGCAACCTCATGAATTCCATTTCATCTTTGTTGGTTAAGAACGGGATTCCCA